CATGGGTTAGAGGGGGAGGGTGTAACGCACACGGCGAGCCGAACATAGCCGAGCTAGGCTTCGCTCGCGCTTGCGCACTCGTCGCATCTCCGCACGACCAACGTGCGAATCTTCTAGAAAAAGTCAACACGCATGTGCGAGACGCACGTGACCCGCGACGTTCAAACAAGCGAGAGGCGGCCGTCACACAGCTCTGCATGGTGTAACGCACACGGCGAGCCGAACATAGCCGAGCTAGGCTTCGCTCGCGCTTGCGCACTCGTCGCATCTCCGCACGACCAACGTGCGAATCTTCTAGAAAAAGTCAACACGCATGTGCGAGACGCACGTGACCCGCGACGTTCAAACAAGCGAGAGGCGGCCGTCACACAGCTCTGCATGGTGTAACGCACACGGCGAGCCGAACATAGCCGAGCTAGGCTTCGCTCGCGCTTGCGCACTCGTCGCATCTCCGCACGACCAACGTGCGAATCTTCGAGAAAAAAGTCAACACGCATGTGCGAGACGCACGTGACCCGCGACGTTAAAACAAGCGATAGGCGGCCGTCACACAGCTCTGCATAGTTTTTTCAATTTATTTCCCTTAATCCCAGTTGGAAAAAATATTTTACGAGTTTTTCTTTGTTAAGATTACAGTGGCGCTCCAACTAGTGGGGCCCGAATCACGAAAATACTACATTGAGTATTACTATGCCAAACACACGAGCTATGCGCGCTGCTAAAGCCGCGCTCGACGCGGACATCCAGCCGAGCGACGTCAGCGACCGCGAAGATTATGACGAGGCTACGGAGCAGAGCCCTGTACGGGCCCCCGAACCTGTCCCCGCGTCTGAACGTACCGGCGCCAACGCTAGAACAACGGACACCGAAATGTTGCTAGCGAACATGATGGAATCATTCGTCAAGATGCAAGCTGAGACCAACAGGTGCCTGGTGGAGACGCTGAGGGCGTTGCCAGCGGCCTGCGGCCCATGGCAATCGCCGCTGCCGGCATCAACACCGACGCTGAACGCTACCACTACAGGATCGTCTGGGAACTTCGCCAAATGTACCGCACGGTTCAACGGAACTTCCCGTGAACCACAGGTGCTGGAAGCATTCATCGACGCTGTCCAAGTGTTTAAGGAGTGCGCGGACGTGAGCGATGATCACGCGCTGCGGGGGCTCCCGATGCTGTTGGAGGGCGACGCCGCCGTGTGGTGGCACGGCGCCCGCAACACCGTCGCTACGTGGAAGGACGCCGTGCTACGACTTCGCGCCATGTATGGTACGCCGAAGCCGGCGTATAAAACTCTACGTGAAGTTTTCAGCCAAGAACATAAACACGAACGTGTTGAAGTATATGTGTGTAGAATTAGGTCTCTATTAGTAAAGTTACCGTACGTAGTGCCAACACCCATGCAAATAGATATAATTTACGGGTTGTTACACCGTCGTGTACGTAAACGTTTACAACGTGACGACATTGTTGACGTAGATGGTTTTATAGAGAAGGCGAGAGCCATCGAAGACGCGATCTCCGAATTATCGTTGAGTACCGAAAATTCTAGTTATACTGCAAAACTTAACGTTCCCGAAACAACAAATGTTTCCCACCCGCAGGCTTCGCGCGATTGCGATAAGAGTGATAAGAGCGAAATCACCACTACCCCGGGTAATTCGAACGAGAACGCGAAAAGGGTTAAACGCGTTCGTTGCACGTTTTGTAAGTTCTACGGTCATACGGTTGACGAGTGTAGGAATCTTAAAAATAAACAAGCCGCAAACACCGACTCCTTAAAAAATAATAATAGTAGCTCTGCCATTCGTTGTTATGGATGCGGTCAAGTGGGCGTAGTGAGGTCGAAGTGCGACCGCTGCGTTGGGAAAAGTGTACCTCAGCGAACGTGCGATTTTAACACAGTGACTGACGATGAGGCCACACACGCTCCGCACGTAATATCATCATCACATCCAACCGTGTACATTAACATCGCGAATAGGGTAGGCGCGGCAATCTTGGACACAGGGGCTAGTTGCACTATTGCGGGTACCTTATTATATAATATTCTGGTTTCGGAAGGAATACAGTTTTGCGAGTCAGAACGCACCATTGGGCTTGCGGACGGTTCTCGAAAACTGAAACGTGTACTCATCGCGACAGTTCCCGTGTTGTTGGAAGGTAGGCAGATAGAAACTGATTTCCTAGTGTTACCCGAGGAAAAAACTGTAACCTTATTAGGTTGCGATTTTATTAGTAAGGCTGGTATAACACTAGACCTGGCCCAGGAGTCATGGTATTTTTCTGACAACCCAGGGAAGATATTACCATTTGTGCGAACTGTCATTTTAAATAACGCCGAACTGATGCAGGCCGACATCTCTAATGTATCCCTGCGTGATGACGAAGGTAATAGGTTATCACCAGAGCACAGGGGCATACTCAACGCCTTTTTGAAGAGGAGATCAGCCCAGTTTGCTGCCGAGGGACCACCGACAGACTTCGCCATGCATAAGATCAAGGTAAGTGACGACCAGGAGCCTATTGCTTCACCTCCTTACAGGCTGTCTACTGTAATGGATCTGCCTTCACGCAGCCCAAGTGAGGTCCGGGAGAATCAATTAAAAGACCCCGAGGTACGCGAGATCATAGACGCGATGGAGTCTAACGATCCATTTAGGGGGAGAGTATGGGCTGATAAAGGATACGTCGTCGTCGACGGAATATTGTATCGCTATGGGCCTGAAAATGAAGAAAATGAAAGACGCCGCCCCGAATCGGATTATAAGGTAGGTGATATGGTATTATTGAAAACCCAAGGACCCAATGACACAGGTAAAGGACAGACGCCGAAGTTTATTCCCCGGCGAGACGGTCCGTACCGCATCAAGGAGATTGTGGGACTTTCTACTTATGCGCTCGAACGCATCAGTGATGGGGTTTTGTTAGGAAAATACCATGCATCCTTGTTAACACCATTTGTAGGTTCCGTACAAGCTCCTCTTCAGGAGAAACGTAAGAGGGGAAGGCCCCGTAAGGCTAACCCAGCAGCGGGGGCGCTCCGCATGGGTTAGAGGGGGAGGGTGTAACGCACACGGCGAGCCGAACATAGCCGAGCTAGGCTTCGCTCGCGCTTGCGCACTCGTCGCATCTCCGCACGACCAACGTGCAGAATCGCGATTACGGTAGCTGGAGATCCCAACAACGCGACGCGATACTACACCTAAAGCGTCTCCTGCTACCTATCGAAAATGACAGACTATAAATGTGAATCAAAATTTCGAGTCTATCGAGAGAAATCTAAATTCGAGTAAGTCTCGAAAGTGATCGGGCACGCTGGATAGTTTTCGAGTAACTCTCTTAGTGATCGAGGACGCTCGATAGTTCTCTAATAACTCTCGAAAGTGATCGAGGACGCTCGATAGTTTTCGAGTAACTCTCGAAAGTGATCGAGGACGCTCCATTGGTTTTAAGGACGCTCGATAGACTTCGAATTTAGGGCGCTACTGACCGGTATAGAACGCCAAAAAGTAAGCTCAGAAGGATTTTTGTATCAGATTTGGAGCGCCATCAACCAGGAGCGGACGGCTAGTAATAGATTCTCCTTATTTTACCAGTCCTACCTTTCACAGAAACCGATTAATGATACTTGTATACAATTTGGGGCGCCACGCGCCCCCCACTAGGGCGGCAAAAAGTAAGTAGAGGAATTCTTGTATCGGCTATGAGCCTCCTCCACAAACGTAGGGTCTGCTATAAACCTCAGTCTCCTCGGTTGACGGGTTGGAAATAATATTTTAAAAGTTGCAGTTTGTCAGAGAGTGCACACACGACACCCGCGGTAAGAGTTGTGGTGGTTATATATTTTAATCTGTCAAACACCAAGCGGTCACCGGTGACCGCGACCTATTGTTCTTTAATTGTGTCTATAAAACCGGTACTCGACGAGTTAAGGTAATAAAAACACTAATATCACCATGCTGCAGGCACAGTTAACAACAAATTATAATAAAAACATCACGGAAACTTATTCGTCACTAATCACTTGTCTTATCACGACTGTGCCAACTTCAAACAATATTCATATTACGACATATTGGAAGTCAAGGTTGCAAGATCTTTATACGGCTCACTTAAACTGTTAACTAGTTAATATTACTTATTAAATAATAAGTATTATATCATATCAACAGTTCGAGGCTCTCCGCTGCTGAAACCATAAGCTCATATCATAATGATATAACTTGATGGCCACAAAGTTGTAAATTTGGTATCTAATTAATAATAATGATATAGTCCGAATGATAATTCATCTTGCATGAAATTAAAACAAAAGGTGTCATAAATCATTTTGCTCGTAAATATTGATTTTAATGAATAATAATTTTGTATAGAACTTATGGCGCCGACTTCTAACCTATCAGTCGGTAGGTAACCTATCAGTAGTAATAAGTAATAGTTTTTTTGCTTTTTAGTTTTTACCATTTGTTTCTTATTAGATTTTTAAGTCGGTTTTTAATTGTATTTTTTTTATTACCCCTTAAATATTATGTAGGCTGAATAAATAGGTACCTAACCGAACAGATTGAATGTTGTGTAAGTTCCTATTCATAAGTTAGTAACGGTTACTGTAGGTATATGCAGCGATTTAAATGTCAAATAGAATACCTATAAACTATTTTGTTTTCAAAATGTCAATCATTCGTAATTAATTCAAAGCTACCCTCAGATAAAAAGTCGATATACCTACCTACGACATCTGCACCAATTGGTAACGATTTTGTATAAGCAATAATAATACGTAGCTATAGCTACCTATTTAACTTAAAATATAGAATAACACTTTCATTCATTCATTTCATCGAATTAACTAAAATTGTAAGTAATTAAACGCACACAACTAACATGTTTGTTGCACATGGTGGCTTAAGCAATCACATGATAATATTATGAAATATTTAATTTTACTAACATCATAACTAAAATATTATCTAATTAAAGAATTTCTTAATTTACTCACCAATCCAGCACCAACAACAATCACATCCAACTGCGTTTTATTCGAATATCCATTTTGCATCGCCATTTCACACAAAAACGAACTTAATCACAGTAATAATAACAAATATTATTGAACAAATACACAAATCAAAAATAATATATTCAAATCGTAATTAAAATTATTTCCGTATCTGCGGCACCAGAGTGTGGTGTTTATCTTATGTTGGTTAATGTATGAATGAAGGAGGTTTGATAGTAAAATGTCTTGCCGCCGTTGCCGGCTTGCGTCGGCGCCCCTCACCAACAAATTACGGATTCATTGACATTTGATCAGAGCTTCATGAGCGGCCAATAAAATAAATTACGCTTGATTAACGATAGTTACATTGTTGTTAATCTTTTTGTTAGATATTTGAGATGTATGTAGGTTGTAGACCTAGAAATTATAGAAGTAGATAAGTCTAGATATTCTAGAATATTCAGATGAGATAATAACTTAACATTATACTCTTTATTTCGAGATGTGGTTGAAAGTGTTACTTATCCATTTAATTAAAAAAATTAAAATTATACCCCTAAAATCCCGAGTGTTCGATTTTCAAATCGAGAATTAGTCATAGTTTGGTATGCCTGAAAATCTAACTAACACCCTTGCTCGGCTGTAGAACTTGCAAGCTTGCGACCACTATAACAACGAAATACTATTTTTATGGAATCGAAGCAAACGAGCAGACGGCTCACCTGATGGTTAGCGATCAGTGTCACCCATAGGCTCTTGCAACACTAGAGGAGTCACAAATGCTTTGCCGAATCTTTATTTCTTAAATTCTATTTCTAGAATGGATACCATTGGCATAACTACACGGTGGCAAGTCAGGAACATGCCACGGGCTCCCAGCTGGAAGGGGCAATGTACAGGGGTTTTCATCTGCTTCTTTTATTGGTAACGGGGGCCCATCCGATAAATTTGCCACGGGCCCGAACGGTATTATAGTTACGCCATCACCACTATTAGATACGCCCTTTTCTTGAAGGTTTGAAGTGTCTATAATAAGTATTAAGACACATTATACCGTAGTTCAAAACTTCAATATGTTATTGACCTTAACAGACTTAAGTTGCTTTACACACGACTCCATATCCCTTCTAATAAATTAGAAACTTCAAGTTATTTGACACCAAGCCACAGTTTAGGATTACAGGGGTACAGTACAGTATGGTTTCTGAGTATTATTCGTTTCAAAGGGGAAAATATTGCTTTCATTAGATACAATTACAACTTTTGTTCCACGAAAACTGTCTAAGAAGCGGTAGACTGAATGTAGGTAAGTAAATAGATAAAATTGACTTACACTACATGACAACGTCATTTTCATCGTAGTGTATTGTGTCTCGATTACGATTCTCAGGTCGGTTGCATTTAAAATTATTTCTATGCTAATTATATTGATCTAAGTTAGGATTTTCAATATCATGGATACCGTAAAATGGGGTGAATAGGGATCCAGGGGTGAATAGGGAAAAAACCAGGCATCATTTTTAACTCTAAATGCTAGTTTGCAAATCGTTCCAACTTTTACCATTTTTTGAGGGATAATAGTAGATTATTGGAACTTTTCTATGGCTACATTGAACAAGTGTGAAATCAGCTGCAAACTATCAAAAATGTCAATTGAAAGTAGTATATAGGGGAGACCGAGGGGATTTGAAACAATTTTGAAATTTTGTTTCATACACCAAACACTGTAGACAGAAATCATATGATACTAGTACCAATCGATAGGTTATTCTATACACTTGCGAATGATTAACATAAATAAATGTTAAGTGATAAATATTGCGGTGAAAAATCGACTTAACCGTAACAAGTCAATTTGTTTCAACTCCCCTCATATCGAGGTAAGATGAAACAGGGGTCGAGGAGAGTTGAAACATATTATTTTGAAGAAGTGTTGAGGGATATAATAATAAAAGTGAAGCTATAATATAAAGGTATTTATTGTAATAAAACTTTTCAATTAAGAAACAATTTTTTTATCAATATTTTATACTGATATAATTTTCAGTTAAGGAGGTAACTACAAGTCTACGAATAATCAACTCCTAAAGTAGTTAAAATACCTATCACAATGACCATCAATCAACATAATGACCAGATAAACAAAAATGTTGTACATTCTTATATAACATTACCTATATATTAATATAAGTTATAAGCCTTTAACATAAAATACTTATTAACTTTCAGTCGTTCCTTAACTATTACAATCAGTCTTGATTAATCAGTATTTCTTGGAATATTTAAATAACAATACAACGATCACACAAATGAGAAAAATAAAAATATTATGAAACTAAATAATATCAATCTGACAAGCAGTTGTGGCAAACATAAGAAAGTTCCCCACCAGTGCAAGCTTCATGAGCCCAGTTTTTGCACTCCAGACATTGCACCCATTTTTCTTTGGCTTTGCTATTAGAATAAGGCTCAAAACAACAAAGGCAAATACATTCCTCTTCTTCTTCACTGTCTTCATTTCTTCTTTGTTTCTTGCCAACCTTGGTCTTCTTAGTTTTAGTATTTGGTTTTGAACTCCTTTTTTTGGTTTCTTCAAAGTTAGGTTTTTTCACTTTTTTCTTAGCCATTCTAACTGCTTCGATAGCAGCTAGTTCATCCTTTACGGGAGTGTCGGTTAAGATAGCAGATTTCACTTTGCGTCTATTTGTTTGATTTCCTTTCCTGGGTGTAGCCTTTGGCAAGGGTCGAAGAGTGTCAGGTGAGAATGGAATTTCTGTCATAGTAACTGAAGTGTCTCGTGATGTTGATGCTACAGGTATTACATCAGATGTAAAGACTGTGGAGGGAACAACGGGTTCAGATATCGCCAGATCAGGTGAATTCTTACGAGGGTTTTCTGCAGGCTTAGGTACGTCTTCTGCATTGTAGCTGGATAGAGGAGGAGTAGCCGGTAAATTTAAGATTGATGGACTTGGTGTACGGGAATCGTGTAAAATACTGTCTGCAAGGGTAGAACATGGCACGGGTTCTTCACTTCTTGAAATGCCGACCAAGTTAGAGCTGGATGGACCAGGACTAATGGAAGTTGCCAAAGGTCGATCAGTAACCTGACTGGGAAGATAATCAGCGTCCTGGAATATATTAGTGTTAACTGGCCAAAGTCCGGTATGGATGAATCCGGAAGATATATTGCGCGGTGTGACGGCTGTATCAAACGAAGTTTTTACTATCCCAGGAATATCATAGATGGTCATTACTTTTCCTGGATTAGACCGCATCCAATCATCGCAAGCTGTGTTAACTGCTTTTTTCACCGGTCCAAAAACGGCTCTATCCATTGGCTGCAACTTATGGGTGCAGTGAGGTGGAAAAGTTAATAGAATAATGCCATTTTCCTTGCAGAACTCGATATTTTTAACAGCAGTGTGTGATGCGTGGTTATCTAATAACAATAGGACCTTATTTTCTTTAGATGGCCTAACTTGGTCTTTGAAAAATGTAAGAAATATATAGAAGTCTTCTTCTTGCATCCACCCTGACCCATTCGCAGTACCAATTGATCCAATAGGTCCATCACGTATAAAGTGATCATTAAATCTTTTTCGCGGAAAGATAAACATTGGAGGTATGTGGTTCCCAAGGGCATTTCCTGCTAGTGCTATAGTAACTAATGTTCCCCTCTCTGCGGAAGTCATGGCACTCACTTGTTTCTGTCCTCGTCGAGCAATGACGCGGTCCGGTTTCTGAACAGTCGTGATGCCCGATTCGTCAACGTTCCATATATCCTTTGCTTGTAACTCGTATTTGTCAACTACTGAGGTATAATTTTGGAAAAAAAGTTGCACGTTGGTTCTATTAAAACTTGTAGCTCGAGCGATACTTGTAGGTTGAGGTAGTCTTAGAGAAAGAACCGGATGACGCTTCATAAAAGATCGAAGCCAAACCTCTCCAGCCATTTCATGCTCAGTCCAAGAAGAAGGAATTTTTTTATTATATTTAACAGCCAAGCTATAGGCAAAAGTTCTGGCTTCCTTAGTTCTTAGGCCAAAGTTAGCAGCAGCACAGTTTAAAAGATAGTCACACAGTACTTTTTCTTCTGAAGCTGTAAAAACAGTCTTTTCTGGGTATCCAACCGTTGGCGCATTCGCAGTTTCGTTAGCTTCATAAGCAGTTTTTTTCTTAATATATCTGAAGAGGGAGGTATGGTTCAGATTATAACTCGAAGCCGCGTCACGGAGACTTTTATGTCGCAAGGTTACTTCTTCTGCTGCGAGATCATATATTTCGCGACTCGCCATACCCCTATCAGTCTTTCGTTTATAATCAGTAGGCATGCTGAAACAAAATTACCGAATTAAAACAACAAAAATAAAATTCATATAAAATTGAAAACGAGGAGAGTTGAAACAGCCTGTTTCAAATCTCCTCAGTAAGAAAAAACCTCCCTAGTTTTATTAAATCTATGATTAAGAAGAAAATACACAGAAATCAATTGTACTAAATATATATAACAAATCATTACTTAATGAGCTTTCGAAACATATATAACTTAAACCAAAATACAAAACCCTTAACAAAATATAGGCATCGTAAAAATACATTAAAAACTTACTTTTCAAGATTTTTGTCACTTAGCACACAAAACTCCACAACCGCGCGACTGACGCGACGGACGCGCACTGACATGTTCGCGGGAGAAGGGAAGTTGGTGTAAAGCGACGTTGCCAGCTCGCTAACGGTTTTGAGTTCCAAGAAATCTGTACTGTTTCAAATCACCTTTGTTTCAAATGCCCTCGGTCTCCCCTACAAGATACCGGTTATTACAGTGTATAAAACTTAGCTGTGTAAAGGTTATTTTGTATTAAGCGAATACGAGTATTAGTTTTATACCTTATTTAGGGTTTGGGCCGTCATATCCACGAAAGTTAAGCATCAGTTATTAATTAATATGACTATAATTTAGATTTTTAGAATGGCATGCGAAATTTGTATTTTTTGGGGTGAATGGGGACGTCTCAGGTATGAATCACAACGAAAGGGGGGTTAATCGGGATGAGGATGGGATGAATAGGAACGACTTATGTATGAATAGGTACAGCTTTATAGGGTTGTCACTAAGCAGACTTAACATTTTTAAATTGTGTAATCTAGGTAATAATTATTTTTTTATTTCATAAATTAGCGAGGTATTACACTGCGTCGTTAATCTAGTTATTGCAAGTGCAACTGTTGACCATGAAGTCTCAGGATCGGTTCCCGAGTCGACCCAAGTTTTGTTGGAATTTTGAAATATTTTACGGAGTCCGAAATTGTGTTCGGTGTATCTTAGTAGGCTTGTCCCCTATTTCTTGGGCTGACAACGTTACTGACGAACACTGGCTGTCACATTTAATACGTAGATACATTATTTTTTTTTGGGATGGGAAATTATTATATGACACCTCCTGCTCTGGGCGGAGCCGAAAATTTATTTTAGTGTTGATATATTGAGTAGAAATTTTTATACAATAATGCAAATTTATTTTATCAGATATGCCTCGCGTGTATACCATGTTCATTAATGAATAATTTTAATAGGCAATAAAAGGTTTGTTGATTAAATAAATAATGGAAGTAAAACTGGATTTTATTTCAGTGACTAAATAGCTATTAAATAATCAGAAACTAGTATTATGTAAGAATTACATAGTGGCAATAAGTAATAATGTAGAATAAATTAAAATACAAAAAATGGTAGTTAGCTAGAAATTATAATTCAATAGGTAGGTACCTACACAAGTGGCAGCCCTAGAGAATTTCCCTATTGGCCTTATTTTCGTCCCGATTGACCCCAATTTCTGGGTGAATAGGGATAGGCTATATTTTAGCTTTTTTATGCATAAACTGAAATGCTAATTGCATAATTTATGTTTGATCACAAAGATACCATCACGACTCAATTATTACAATCGCCTTACAGCAAATTTTCTATAAAAAAACGCCTTAACTTTCTTTATGAAGTTCAGATTTGTCCCTATTCACCCCATTTTACGGTACATTCTAGAGGTACAAACATACCAATTCAGATACACGGACTCCCAGAACCATTGTGGAACAAGTAGGTACGTTGTGCGTACAATTGCTTAAATATATCTTTAAGTTTATAACATTACATCACGCCTTTTATCCCCGAAAGGGTAGGCAGAGGTGCACATTACTGCACTTATACTTAACACCCACTTTTCACTATTTATGTTATGAGTCCCATGTAAAAGGAGGTGAGACTATGGCCCTATACCGGGCACATTTGCCGGACTCCGTACCGTAGTGGCAATTATTTCCGTAGTGCCGTAGTGGCACGGAGTCTAGAAATGTGGTATGTGGACCCGGGATCGAACCCAAGACCTCATTGCCCCTTGACCGAATTTAAGTATATAATTTCTATAATCCACGATATGAATGTATTATGTTATTATTATAGACTTAGTACAGTACGTATTGTTATTGCAATTACCATTAAGTAATACTTGCTACTATCTACTGATAACATCGGGGTTATTAAAATAAAATAAACAGTTTTATTACATTTTAAAACGTTACCTACATAACTACTTACGTCGCTATTTGTCACGTTATCGCGCAAATAAATATTAAATATTTACACAATATTAGAAAATTCAATTACTTCAAGTACACCAAATAAATAATACGCTGTTTAATTAAATTAAAAGGTGTTTAAATCATTTTTTCCAGTAGTGTTAAAACAGTCTCATTAGTAGTTACTACTGCATGCAAACATTACTTATTTGCAAGTAAAAGGTCTCAATATCTGGATCGGGTAAAGTATAATTGGGATTTTAGATAGGTACTAGACTCTAGCATGCAATAAAAAATAGATGGAGGATGAATGGAAAAATGGAACCCTCTAGTAACTAGAGGGTTCCATTTTTTATTGCATGCTGTATAGTGGCGCTATAGTAGAGGTAGAATAGATGTGTCACCACCCCTTCTTTTCTCGGGGGTGTCGTAAGCGCCGGCTATAACGCTACGTCCTGCGGAGTCCTGCGTAAACGATCTAGAAGCGAACGCGATTATGAATGGGAAAAATCCGTGGGATGCAGTGCGGAGCGGTGCGAAATGACGCGGACGCGATCAATTTGATGTTTTCCTGCGAACTGTCATATTTAGATGTGGTGCTGCCATGTTTTTGTTCGGTTATAATGACGGAAACAAAAACGAAGCGAAACGATTCACTTGCACGTAGGACATAGACGCCGCGTCGCACCGCATCGCATTGAATTCGCGTGTCACCGCTTCATAATAGCGTTCGCTTTTAGATCGCTCAGGCAGGACGTAAGGGACTACACAGTTCACAGACACTGGATGAGTAGGAACTTGCGAGAGTAGTACCTGAACCTATTGTACTGTGACCTCGAAGCTGTGCCTACCAAGACTGAAGATTATGGCAAACCCTCGATAGATCGGTAGAGGACTGTCATAGTGTCATAGACTAAAATTTCATATTTCCTATTCAGATTGAAGTTTAAAAAAACAACATAAAGAAAATACTATCCATTTATTTTCATTCCTTATAATAACATACAATTTCTACTTCGACTTAACTTAATTATACATCTTTAAATATATCGAAATTCTTACATTCCCAATTATTTCGCGTTTTTATCTTCTAAACACCACAAATCTCACAGTGAAAATTATATTTTCGACTTTATACTACAATATTTATTTATGTACTGAAAAATCAGGCATGACCTGCTTAGTACCAAGACATTATTATACATCTTACAAATACCAAAATTTTCGTACTAATCTTTCGGGCACAACCAAATTATTTACAAAAATTGAGAAACATGTATGTATATTCACGACTCCATATTATTTGACATGGGTAATATTATAACAATAAAATGAATAAAGTGCTGTGAAACAGTAGAGGGAACCTACTATTTAGTGAATAACATAGCCTGGATATTATAACAGAAGAAAGGAGAGTCTACGGACGAAAAAAGCTTAAAAATTCCCTGCGACGAATTTGAACCAATCTTATATTTTTTAATACTCATTATATAAATCTGATGAGTTTGTTTGTTTGAATGCGCTAATCTCCGGAACTAAATGCATATAGACATAACCTCACGCCTCTCTCCCGTGGGGGTAGGCAGAGACTATGGAACGCCAACTCCGGAACTACCTTGGTGTGTACTTAATATTCCTTTTTAACGGATTTCCCAAAAAGGAGAAGGTTCTCAATTTGATCTGTATGTACGTATGTTTGTGTGCGATTGGTTGAACCGATTTTGATGACGTTTTCAGAAAAGTTTGTTACGCTTAGAAAAAGGTTTTAGTATATTAACCTCTCACCGGTAAATATTTTGATAGAAAAGCGAATGAACTATTCTGTTCAATCAAATAAAGAACGGGTTGCAAACTTAAAAATACACGTCACAGAAAAAATATCTAATCGGTGCGCGTTTCTCGTACACCCGTGTGTACGAGAAACAGAGGGGGGTTGAACTGGGTTTTTTAAACTTAGTTTATACATGCATTATTTATTAATATGTTGGACAGTCAATTTATCAAGGAAGATTATAAAACGCCACGATAAGAGCCGAGCGGGTGAAACCGCGCTGGGTCGCTAGTATAGAATAATATGTAGTTGTAATATAACACTAGTCCAATACTACTAATTTCCGTATCATAAATAACTCCAAACCGGTTCACTAAAAGCAAACTGCACACATTATCTTATGAAATAGATATGTATTAATAAAATATTCAAAAATTCAAAACTATTCATAGTCTTCAACCTTGACTTTATTATTATTAACTTTTTTGTTCAATTTGCACACACCATTATTTGTTTTCTTTTCCTATTAGATAAAAGGTTTACGTCATCAAAATTTTTTTTTTTTTTAAGTTATTCAATTACGCTATCAGTCAGATTTGGATAGGATACGTTTTGAAAACTTCCATCGTCTTTGTTTTTTGACAAAAATCAACCAAAATGTGAAGGATATAAAGTTTAGTTTTGCTCTAAAGTCACTCAGAGCATTAATATTGTGTCGATTGTAATAGAGAACTAGTTGAAAATAGTACCAAGCATTTTCTTACTCATTTCAAAACTTATTAAAAAGAAAGCACTTGGAGACAGGTCTACCAACCAAAATAGAACGTAAACCGCATACGAATAAAATCCTTTTTTCTTAGAATTTTACAATGTTTAAAGAAGATAACGTTGGGAGAACTTAGCTCAAACTGTACTAACTTAAAATCTATCTGTATCCTCTTTAATCTTCAGATGTTATGTACTTAAGAAAATATGGATTTTTCAGTCAAAACTCAATCTAAAATGTAAGAGAATAAAGTCAATTTTCCCGTTAATGTGGTTTCATTGAAATAAAAAGATCTGCCAATCTAAACTGCACCTAAACAACAAGGAAATAAAATTCTGATGAAAGGATAACGACACGAAAATAATTAATAACTTTGTCATTCAAAACTCAACCTAAACTGTAATAGATCTGTCAATGAAAATCAAACCTTAAGATTAAACAAATAAAGATAACTTTAGAAACTCATATTACTAGGCATAGAGGAGATATCTTCGGAGGGACTTTGGCTCGAACTGAACGAGCTAAGAGTCTCCCTTGTTTCTTCCTTAATTTTTAAATGTTCTGTGCTTGAGGGGGGGCGGGTCAATGACCTGTCTTTGTCTTTGTGTTCCTTCGACTTGTCTTTGCTGCTGTGCTTGTGTTTGTGCTTATGTTTGTGCTTCTTCTTTTCCTTCTTCTTCTTCTTTGCCTGTAAGAAAGATATTATTATTATTTTTGTATTGTAAATGTAGAAAATTTTCTTAGGTTGTTAGCTTATTGATGCATCTACTAATTATATAAATTTTGACATACACTACACCGGTACAAAACTAGCGATTGCAGTTTCGATTCCTTCACAAGAATTGTTTTGTGAAGGAATCGAACCCATCAACCTGTAACCCGGAACATGCCACTTAATATTATGAATAAGTTGATTCTAGGTGCATTTTACAGATGGTGGGATAATATTTGAGATAATAATTTTATTTATTATTAATTGTACTAAAAAAATCTTATCACTTTCCACCGTGCTGTGGCTCAAACTATTTCTTATGAAGTTAGATTATTTATTTATTTTTTTAAGGGGGGAAAATCATCGAATGACTGTTCCCGCCTGGGTGAGGCGGGAGGGAGTGTCAGACTCTTACTGACTAAAAACCACCCCGTTCCTTCTCATGCACGTCGAGCCGGAGCCCCGATTACCCGTTAGGTTCTCCGCGACATGAAGTTAGATTACCTTTAATTTTTATATCTAGAATTATTATAATTATAGATTTTAATTTATTATTTTAATATTTCCTTTAAGATTATGTTGAATAAGATCTAGTTTAGCAGAAACTAATCGAACTCCTTTTGATTTTAGATATTAATAAAATGAATCAACACAATACACTGAACTAGAAGAAATCTTTTACTAAAACAATTAACTCCATAAAATCAACAATTAGGACTACTTACCTTAGGAGCTCCAATCTCATCCTTGTCATGTCTAAACATGCCCGGCTCGAACCCGACCGGGCCGGAAGTACCGGGTATACCCGGCAGTGCCACCGCGTTGTCTGTCATAAACTCGCGTTTGTTATCGTCCTACAGTGAAAAGAATATAAGTTATTTAGCATTCGTCGCATAATAGTCGGGGTGGCCCAGAAAAGGTGCGGTTTCGAAACCTATCAACGGCAAGTGGTACTTGGTAGGTTTGTGACCTTTTCCGAGTCTCATGTACTTTCTAAGATTATTTAAACACCACTGACAAACGTTGTAGGAAAACATCGTGAAGAAACCTGGGCTTATAATTTCCAATTATAAGTTTGTAATCACCAACCCGCATTGAGCAAGCGTGGTGTTTAATACTCAAACCTTCTCCGTGTGAGAAGAGGCTTTGCTCAGCAGTGGGTTTATAGGCTGTTGATGATGATTACCGTGAGGTGTCGATAGAGTAGAATATTTTTGTCACCAATCCTACGCTTCTCATAACTTCACGCCTATCTTCAAAGGGGGTAGGCAGAGACTATGGAACGCCAACACGTAATAGTAATAACACTTCTCGTGGATTAGTAAGACCCGACAGAGAAGTAGCAGCGCTCACTGATAAACCCATCAGGCAAACATGGAGATTATAGGAAATCCCTCTTATGAAGACAAGACCTTTTAAAATCGCTCCTCATAAATTTCCAAAAACATCAACTCTTATACAAGCAACAATGAACTCTAAATCCTTAATAATAGAACTGAATATAACTTACACTGAAAACTCGTATCGGCAACTCATTCGACACACTAGTGACATCAATTTTAACGTCTTCCTCCTTGATATTAGACAGAGGTACGGGAAGCATATCGTCGAGAGGAACGTCCACCATTCTGTCCACCGAGGACAGTGGTATACTTGTGTCCATTGGCACTTCGGGCTCGTATTTCACCTAAAATATGGAGCAATAAAAATATTACAGTTATTTCGGAAGAAAATCTCACTTGATCACTCGTTCTCACACGCGATCGTGAAATCAATTTTTATTCAATGTTGCCATCTACCATACAAATACATTACAAAGTAAAATGTTGCGGGAATCGAACTCGCTAAATTGTTTCTAAAGTTGGACATAATATAACCGGCAAATCACTATTTTTTTAAACTCAGTAGAAAATTGAAGTCTATAGTCAGAATTTTAATTAGATTCCAGATTTGACAATAGCTACTGTCATTTTGTGAAATAATGATACCACATATAATAGTGTAGTGATGCACACAAAAATCGATAAACAATCAGTATGTGTGTTTTATAAAAAATGTTACAGAAAGTGACTGGATAGCGATAGCGATGACGGCGACAATTTATAAAATAACTTATTACCATAAAACATCTATCTGTTTTATTTGTCATGTTCCTTCATGATTACATTTTTTTATTTATTTCACCCACAATTATAAAAGTCTTAGATCGTTAATTAATCGTCGAAACTAAATTATCGGTTCAAAAATATTTAATTTCCTGATATACTTAGTTTACGAGAGTAAAATTATAAACGAGAAGAATCGATCCAGAAATATTGCATTTCCATATCGAATAATTTCGCAACGTCACTATTTAGTACTTGTCATAACGTTGCAACACTGAAATTGTCAAATCTGGAATCGAATTAAAATTCCGAGTATAGTGTCTGTATAGCCATAGGACCACCGGACCACCCCTTGGCCTTTAGCCAAACGCCACTTTAGCGCTTGTCTACAGAGAGAGTAGAAATCAAAATGTATGGGGATGACACTGACAAGTGCCAAAAATTACGTCGATTCCATATAATTTGGTTTTCTATTCTACATGTAGACAAGCGGTAAATAGCATTTGGCTACAGGTGCTTGTTACATGGGACTCATACCGTAAGTTGTAATGAAATTGGTTTATATGCAAGATATATTTTTTTAATACCTATACTTCAATTTACTAAACAACTTTATTTACCTTACATCACAAAAAAAAACTAAAACAATAACAGTACATAATACTCACATCCTCCACCTCTTGCTTAATAACAGGTTTCGTCTCCAACTCCTTCAATCTATCGCGTTCTCTTTCTCTCTCCTTCTCTTTTTCCCTCTCCCTTTCTCTTTCGAGCCGCTCTCTTTCTTTATGGTGCATTTGCTTCATCATGGCCTGGATTTCTGGTAAAGGTACACAAATTGGCCTCTTGAGGCCATATAATGTGTAGTACAAGTCTACCAGGTCACAACGAAGCCTCGCGTCATTTGATAAAAGGCTGTTCATGTTGTTCCAAAGCCTGAAATGGAGAAAATTGTTAAAACCTAAGTATTTTTCAAAAGAAGATTATTATAATGAAGCTATGACATGCCGTAAGGAGGGTAATGTTGATGTAGAAAATAATAGTTGTGTGCTCCCGATCTGCGGCGACTTGTGTTGCCAGAATAAAAAATATACCAAAATTTTTAAAAAAGATTTGATATGTTATATTGTCTTGTTAAAAACTGCAAAAAAGAAAGTTGCTTTTCATATTTCAGCCTCAAACCCATTACTCTTCTATCAACGATAACAACCACTATTTTAGCTTTATAATAACTTATTTTTAATAATGGCAACTAGCAACATGATATTATTTCTCTTTCTTACACTTACCTATGCACCACAGCTTCAGTATCCAGTCGATGTCTCTGCGCTCGCTCAAAGGGCGGCATATTGATCAGCAGGCGAGCGAGCCCGTGTCTTACACACGGGTCCGGGTCACTCTCTACTGCAGTCAGTAGTGAAGACAGGTCTTCTGGCTTACCGTCTACTCGGACAAAGTCTACTAGACACTCGAAAGCCGCTAGTCTTACATCTGGGGATAAGTAAAGAGTTTTTTATAGGTAAAGTTAAATAATTTGTTTTCAGACAATATTTATAATACAATATTTCATTGATTAGTGCGGTGAACGTAAATGTTAATCTGTGGAATGTTTTGATAATATCCTTGTTGCGAAGGGTTTTACGTTGTCTGACTTGCCGCTAGATATTTATGAATTGAGTGTATAGCTAATAAAGCTGTCAGAAAGTGATATTATTCTATAATATTTTTTCTTTAATCTGTGCGAGTACTTGACTAAATGAGTAAAAACGCACAAAAATATGTAACGATCATAGTTACTGGTTTCTGTACTTTCTGTCTAGCCCATGAAACTTGTGGGTGAGATAGACTGATTTAGATAAAACCAGTAACAGAGATAGCCCCAAACTGATCATTGCAGGTTTTTTTAAACATTGACCCACACTAGCTTTTTCTCATGTGTTGTGGGTGCGTTTATAAACATACAAATTCAGACAAACATGACACCCAGACCCGGAACAACAATCTGTGGATCACACAAAGAGTTGTTCCGTGCGGGATTCCAACCCGCGACACGTAGTACACGACATGCTGTCGAATTATCTAAATTTCTCGCGAAAGCATCCTAAAAACAACTAGCAGCTATATAACTAAAGGAAAATCAAAATTCACTTACCAATATACTGTCCATATTGAGCATAAGCCCTGAATACAGTGGGGATACTGGGCAGATGTCCACACTGCTGCAACCTACGTATAGCGCGGAGACAACTGACTGACACTGTATTTTTGTAGCATGGCAACACTTTCTCCAAGTTCAATACACGGGTGATCTCCTCTAGAACTAATCTCGTGTCCGCTGATAATGAATCTGCTGTTATTGGAGCACCCTGTAGAATAAAAGTCAAAGATTTGTAGTAGAGTTTAGACACCAGTATGTTAGGTATTCTTTAATAGACTTTAAGCTTTATGTTTTTTGGAATAAAGTCGATGTCAGTAAAGCTGCTAAACAAAAAAAAGTAGCCTTCATTTGGAACTTTGAATATTACTTTCACATATTACAGAGTTATGTAACTGAGAGTGTGATATTGCCAACTGTGTGCAAGAACAGGAGATTAATTGAAATTTCCTGTGTTGTGCATAAAGTGTGGAAGACCCATGCTTCGGCACGAATGGGCCGGCTCGATCGGAATGATACCACGACCTGGTAGAAAACCGCCGTGAAAAAACGCGTGCGTTGTGTTAAGTGAGATACATTACCGAAGGTCCAATTACGGCTTCCCCCCATTTCCCCTAACTCCCCAATCCCCGATTCCCCTACATTCCTCAAATCCCTAATACCCAAAAGGTCGGTAATGCTCTTGTAACGCCTCTAGTGTTTCAGGTGTCTACGGGCGGCGCCGATTGCTCACCATGAGGTGATCCGTCAGTTCGTGTACCGGATTATCCCATTAAAAAAATCTCGGGAGTCCTCTAATAAACAATGCGTCCAATAGCATTGCAAGAATCGATATACAGCAAAACATCCCCCCTTGCAACATATAAATAACAAGAAATATTTATAAGTACTTACCGGTTGTAACACAGATATCACAGGTGTAATGGTAGCAGCCAAAGCGTCAACTAGAGCCGCTTTATAATAATTGTCGGAGAAATGATTCTTAGAATTATCATTGTACTTGAAGAGATCTAGTAGAAACCGCACCACCTCTGGTGGACAAATGCCGTGTATGTTCCTTAGGCCTGGAAAAAATTGTTTTATTCTAATTTGTGCTTTATTTGGTACTAGTTTTTACCCGCGGCTTCGCTCGCGTCACAAAAGGATAAAAAATAGCCTATGTGACATATACCAATACACACAGCGCCATCTATACCAATACTTTTGTTTTTCCTCGAGAATATTATTTTTTCCGGGATAAAAAGTACCCTATTATTTAATCCGGACTTCTAACTTTACGTCTGCAAAAATTCAAAGCAATCGGTTTAGTAGTTACGGCGTGAAGGTGGAACAAACAAACAAACTCACTTTCAGATTTATAATATTAGTAAGGATAGGTAAATTACAATTTTAATAGACGAATAAGGCGAATGTTATGACCTTAAAAGAACTGGATAAATATTGAGAATACTTTCTTGTTTAATTATTATTGTTTAACATCTTAAGCACCTATCAGATCGAAAGATCAGTTTTCTTAAAATAATATAAAACACTAATCACTGTATTATTTTAATCAGTTCATAGTACCTAAGTATAACTCACTCTCCAAATTCAAGTTTTTTTTCAGCCATATTCGTCCCACTGCTTCTTCCACTCTTTTTTAAATTTAAACTGTCAAACATCAAGCGGTCACCGGTGACCGCAACCTATTGTTCTTTAAATACAATGTCTATAAATACGGTACTCGACGAGTTAACTTAAAGTTTGCACCATCAATATTTATCAAATTCGATTTAGCAGTTTAGTATAATAAACAAGCTTAATTAAACGTTAATATACCCTCTTTTATAATATGTAATACTTAGAAATCGTGATTTAATTTAAGGTACTCACCCGCCATAGCGACCGGTATGGTTTTCTGTAGGAAGTAATGCTGCAAGTTGTCAAAGTTGTTCTGTTTGATGATGTGCGGGGCGGCGAACGAACCGAACATCTTCCTGAATATCGTCAACATGGCCGGCGGACCCGCCCACGAACTTATCATCGCATTCGCTACCTACGAAGTAAAAGTGTTATGAAGAATTTTAGCTATATTATTATAAAATGAATAATCATGGTAATGCAATGTATTACTGGGTTTTAAAAAAAATCTCAGTAGTAGCACGAAGTCTGGAATTGTGCCCGGTAGGCTCACCCCCTATTACATGAGACTCATAACATAAATAGTGAAAAGTGGGTGTTACATTGTACAGTGGTACAATGTGCACCTCTGCCTATGTAGAATCATGGTAATCTTGTTTTTATAGTGATTTAGATTTAATCATCAATAAGCCAATATTCAGTTTACAACAAAAATATAATGAAAATAAAGTTGTATTTAAAAAGATAAACGCCCTATATCCAACATCTATCACATACAACAATATTTCCAATTTAAACTCTAAACCAACACTAATAAGACACATTTAAACCACTCACCTTAGTCAAACAATGCGCAGCTCTGCACCGAATCTTATAATATGTCTGTTCGTTCTCAATGACGTCAGTAAGAGCCTTCCTTGTAGCTGGCTCTGGGTAGTTATGTAGAGCGTCGATAGCTTCACTCTGAGCGGTGACGTCACGCTCATGACGCAGTTGATACTGCCACTGGTAGTCAGGCTGTGATATCACAGTGCTACGCAAAAGTGACATCTCTGGGTCGAGGCGGATCCATAGGACGGGCGAATCACTGAAATAGAGATATTGTTATTATCACTACATAGTATAAAACAAAGTCGCTATCCGCCGTCTGTCTGTCCCTATGTATGCTTAGATTTTTAAAACTACGCAACGGAGTTTAATGGGGTTTTCTTTAATAGATAGAGTGATTTTTAAGGAAGGTTTATATGTATGATACATGCATATTGCACCCGTGTGAAGCCGTGGCGGGTCGCTAGTATTCCATAAAACATCATTGAAATAAATTATTTGACTCTTAACTTTGGTCTTATGAAGGAGTGTACTACTGTTTTGGTATTTATCAGTGTCATTGTAAGGATAGACTTCTCTTTACAAAGGGAGTCTATTGGCGGCGGGAGTCTCAACATTGATAACATCAACAACAACAGACATCGTTCACTTCGTCTAATTATCAGATATTTCATTAACAGATTTTAGACTTTAATACAAAATGAAAAGGTTAAAAACGCATTAAAGCAATTAAAAAAAAACTTACTCCATAGCGGACAAATCCATATCGACCTCTTCCCCGGTACAGAGGGGAATCTTCTTCTTCTTATTCCGGCGGCTTTTGCTGTGGCATGTAATGTCTGCCTTGACAACAGTGTTCTCAATCTGCAACATGTGCTTAAAGGTCCCGTCTAACTCCTGTAATTGAACGAGCAATGGACCTACGTACTTCCTTATGCCACGCTCGTGTACGCAGTCTTGACGGATTTCTAACTCCACTGTATTTCTGGAAGGTTCGAGATAAGTTAGTGTGATCAGATGAATCCTTATCCTAACTAATATTATAAATCGGAAAGTGAGTTTGTTTGTTTGTTCCACTTTCGCGCCGTAACTACTGAACCGATTGCTTTGAATTTTTGCAAATGTAAAGTTAGAAGTCTGGATTAAATAATAGGGTACTTTTTATTCCGGTAAAATTTGATATTCTCGAGGGAAAACGAAATTATTGGTATAGACGGCGCTGTGTGTATTGTTATATGTCACCTAAGCTACTTTTTATCATTTTGTGACGCGAGCGAAGCCGCGGGTGAAAGCTAGTTTGTATATAAAAATAATTTTATAACAAATAGGAGGATTTACTTGTATTATAAAATCTATAGACAGAACAGAAAGTACTCACCTTTTACGATTGAATACGGACGTGAGTTGGAATTTAGCATGACCACCGGTCCGTACCCACTGATCGACGAACACTGCCATATCTTTGCCGGTCACAGTAAATATGGCCTTCACGAATAGATTGGTGGAAAGCAATAAATGTCCCCAGAGCCCGCTACCAATCTTCGTGTTGGCCGCATTGGTTGCTAATGACAGCTGCTTGTTGAAAACTTGCAGCAACAACTCCTGACCGATGCGTTGCTCCAACATTCTAAGTACTAAATGAGATTTTTTTCGCATAATCTGAAAGTAAGATAAAGTTAATTCCTAGGTTTATTTTAATAAAAGTCGTTTGAACAGTCAGTAAAAAGGTTTTCTTAAATAATTGATGTTATTCTAGACAGAGTACAGGTACCACATATTATGTGTGTATATATCTTACCTCAATATACCGCGGGGACATAGTATGAACGTTTCGGACGGGGAAATAGAACACGTCCTTAGGTTCGACACGCGCCCCACTGGCGGGCGGCTGCCAGGGATCCAAGACTATACCGCCATATTGTTCTTCATAGCCGACAACCTGGGGAAGTACACGTCATGAGGGCTATGTAGCTGGTTGAAGACTTCAAGATCCTTTGATTAAAGTATGATAGAGCAAACAATAAGAAAGTAGCATAACATAACATAACAGCACGCCTTTTATCCCCGAAGGGGTAGGCAGAGGTGCACATTATACCACTGTACAATGTAACACCCACTTTTCACTATTATTTATGTTATAAGTCACATGTAATAAGGGGTGAGCCTATTGCCATATACCGGGCACAATTCCAGACTCCGTGCTACTACTGAGATTTTTTTTAAAACCCAGTTATACTTTGCCCGACCCGGGAATCGAACCCGAGACCCCTTGCCCGGCAGTCGCACTTGCGACCACTCGGCCAACGAGGAAGAAAGTAGCAAGTGTTAAAAATACCGTATCGTGTTGGTACAAGTAATTAAGCTCATGTAGAAGGACACTAATGTAAATATCTTCATATGTTTTAAGTATTAGTATCATAAGTATGTAGTGTATACCTCTTGCAGCTCCTGATGAATAATATACCGATACTCGTTATTCCCAAAACATTTCTTCGAGTATAATCCACACATATAGTCAGGTATGCCCTTGGCTAGCCAGAGATCTGACCAGTTCTGCATCGTGATGAAGCAACCGAAGAATTGTTCGGCCACGGCTTGCGCCATGGCCTTGCGACTGATGTATGTTTGGTCTATGATGGCGATGGAATGAAGGAGGTGGGTACTTAAAATTGACATCGTAGTGTAGGCTGTCGCGTCATCTTCAGTCTGAAAGAAATAATGTATATCCTTACTTCCTTACTAATATTATAAATCTGAAAGTGAGTTTGTTTGTTTGTTTATTCCACCTTCACGCCGTAACTACTCAGCCGATTGCTTTGAATTTTTGCAGATGTATAGTTAGAAGTCCGGATTAAATAATAGGGTACTTTTTATCCCGGAAAAATTTGATATTGCCGAGAGAAAACAAAAGTATTGGTATAGATGGCGCTGTGTGTATTGGTATATGTCACATAGGCTACGTTTTATCCTTTTGTGACGCGAGCGACGCCGCGGGTAAAAGCTAGTTTACTAATAAACTGCTTAAGAACTGTTATAGTAATTACATTAGGTGTGTAAGTCACATCATAAACCTTGAGTTATGTACATATGAACTAACCATAATGTATTACTATTATTACTAGTTCTAGCTAAGGCCTTAGTACGATTTTTTTTACGTAGTACGCGTTCGACGCTCTGATTGGCCGGCTCCAATGAACCGACCAATCAGAGCGATGAACGCGGTCTCGTTTCGATTACTTTAAACGTAAAACAAACAAGTAGTAAAGCCTCTAGTGTTTTGCCACAAAAAAAGTGAGTACAAAAAGTTGTACTTATAAAAAGAGGAATTTTAGAAATAATTAATATATCCCAGTAATCACAATAATATTAATGTCTCTTTATAGGTACTAACCTCGTCAACAAAAACTTGTTTGTAGCACGGGTAAGGATATCGAGTAGAAAGAGTTTCTTCATAAAATTCAAACGCTTCATGTAAATATCTCACAGTATTTTTCAATATCTGCAGCAAGTTGGGCAAGCAATAATGTGTGACTTCATTCATAAACGGATCCACATAAGTTTCAAAAGGCCTGAAAATAAAATATTCAATTAAAATGTCATGAATTTCATGCAAAAGAGGGCAAATCTATTTAGCATAGATGTACTTTTAGAGTTTACTTTCGTATTTGGTACGAAAATAGAAAATATCATCAAGACTTTGACCGGACTCTGAATTCCCAAGGGGTCACTAGTGACCACTCTCCACCAACTTCATTATAGACCTTATTGCCGATGTTTAGAGACTACTTTTGTATGACAAATTTTTGGGGATTTTCAGTATGATATATCAACATATTAATATGCAATTCCACTTACAAGTATTATATGATTAATTTCGAAGTTGGGTAAATGTATAAATAACTGTAAAAATATAAAGAGTAAAGAACGTAACTCACCCAATAGCTAAAGCAATATTAGGAGCACAAGCCGGAGTATTAACCAAATAATGAAAGGTCTTTCTGCGATGGTCCGGAGTATACACCACTTCAAATAGTTCTCCGCAAGACACCGCGGTAAGACTTTCATCAACAGTAAATTCCAGTTTCCAAGTGCAAGGCTCCGCAAAACTGTCAACGCAAGGAAACCAGAGTCGTGCTGAGTGACCGTATGTGAACATGTGAGCTGATTTCTGTAAATAAAAATATATAAAAATATGTATTCATATAGAATGCTTTTGGAGATAATTGTATTACTATGCAATTTGTTATGCAAAAGAAAATATAATTTGTTAGAACTAGAATAAGCCACAACGAAAATTAATATTTATATTTTTTTCTAATTTGTTCAATATTGTGCAATAATTGATTGTCATCATTATGACTTGATTTCCTAATTGGTAATACAATATGGCTAGCAGTTATTCAATGAGACGAAGATTGACTTCAATAGTCTACTAAGACCTCTCTGGTGACGATGATAAAGAAGTAATTTCTCATTCCTTACCTCTACTAAAGTTCCTTCACCCTCCGGTACAACAAAGTGCATTCCTCCCTGAGGGGATTCAAGGGAGAACTCAATACCAATGCGGAGTCCTCTCCCTTCGCCCACTAAGTGAGCAGCTTCTTCTGGTATCTGGATGTGAAGCTCTCCGGAATTGTGATCCGGATCTATCTTTTGGGCAGCAGATAAATGAAACTGGGAGAATACTTCCAAGGATCTCCTGTAAAAAATGTAATGTTGAAAACGGGATGCATAAATAACATAGTCTATTTTAAAATAAGAGCAAATGTGTTAAATAATCATGGTCTATTTTGAAATAAGTACAATTGTATTTGATTTAACTTTTCCATTGTTAATTTTTAATGTGTTTTTAGACATAGTATGTTACGACTACTATTATTATGTGTTTAATGTTTGTTTACAATAGTTAATTAACAGACTATAAACTACTTACGTATTGGGGTCAGCTTGACAAATGTCCAAAAATGGATCAAAGTATTGGAAGTTCGCTTCATACTGATCATTGAGGCAGACGCGATAAATTCGACATTGTTTAGCGTTCAGTCGAATATAACGGAGATTGTCCTTTAGAGGGACGATTGTAAGCTCCACAAAACCCTGCAATTGATAATGGGTTAATAAATAAAAAGGATAGATACTTTTTGAACATAAGAAAAATGTGCTTACTTTCACAAAAAAATACTCACAATAACGCTCTTCCTTTCGAAACTTATTCCAGTCAAACTAAGAATTTGATGGGCTGTAAAGAAAATGATATAAAATCGGTAAATATCTCTTTATTTTAATGTACAAACATTGAGTCTGTATACAAACAAATAAAAATTCTATGATACTTATAATTTAAATGGACGACAATTGTCGCCCGTGCGCTCCTTCTTCATTGTTGATTAATGTTTACAGTCATTTCTTTTTAAAAACAAGCTGAGATATTAATTATTTGACAAAATATTAGAACATGTACCCCAAAACACCACACAAATTGGTGAACATGTCAAAAATGTCAAACGAGGTTATCATAGACAAAAGATAAAAGATTTTTACAAGCTTTTTAAGCGCGGATATGAATCTTTTGACACCAGTTTATAAAAGATAGGTACAGTCAATAATTATTTATCCAGGATCTAGTTTATCATAATTTTTAATTCATTTTTTTCAACGTCCTTGGTTCATTAATTATTTTATGAAAAGAAAAGTTTCATGAAGGTGACTAAAATGCTCGTTTTGACCTTACTACCAAAAAATAGTAAAACTACTCTGCGGTCACCTCTAGAACTGTCAACAAGAAAGAGAGGAAATGAATGAGGAGGTCCATTGCGATATTGCGATTATTGGTGGAATATTCTAAAATTTGTAGCCGCTGGAGACTGTGTTTGAACAATTTGTGTTTTGTGTGAAAGTTGTGTTAATAAGTGACAGAAAAATAACCAGTTTACATGTTTATTTTCGCTTTAACTGATCAAAATGTGGGACTCACCATACCTGACTTGTTTGTTTCTGTATATATTTTCGTTTCAAATTATTGTCACTAATTCACGCACTTCTAATATTTGGAAATTGAATGCGGAAGGAGACCAGATCGTGGACGGTAGTACACTGTCTCAGGTCAGTCAGAATTCTAATAATATGTCGGTAAACTTTTATATAATCAATGCACTACATATTCATCAAACGTATGTACCTTTCAATCTATTATTCTAGATCTTATTATGCCCATGTTTACCTTGGATTATTTTTTAAACGTGTTAATTATAAATGAATGATATTTCTATCATAGTGTGACGAAACTGCTGTGTTTTGGTATGAAAGACGAAACTTAATTTGTGAACTACTTTTAGGATGAATCTGACAAAACTCGCATGAATGAAGAAGACCCTATCTTCAACATAGTAACGTCGACAGTGTATTATGGGAACACATGGACTAAACATGGCTTTGACATGTTTTGTACAGACTGCCAAATATATGAACAACAGAGGTGAGTTATGGAACCAGAAATACTACCTTTATTTTCTATAAAAATAATTAAATCTAACCATACATCTACCCATGAGGTGAAAGGTTTAATAAAAAGTTCCTATGCATCCTTGGAAAAATAACTTGTTAGATATGAAGTGATAACACATCTTGTGTTAATCACAACATGTGTGTTTAGCAATAGTTAATTTTTTAAAGGAAAATTTGTTGATGCTTGTAAACAAAACAGTTAGTTATGCTTGTAAACAGTTAGTTTCCTCTAATGTAAAGCCTAAATAATAAGAGAGAGGAATACATAATCATACAACTTATAAACTCTTCTTTATACTATCCTAATGGTTTTCTATAAAGAGTAAGACAGTGATACATTTTTAATTAGTTTTATACAGTTATTTACATTATTCAAATTATAAAACAAACTAGGAATCTTCTTATACCAGGCGCATTATTTACTCACATTAAAATGTACTTAAGGTAAACAATGGTTTGCTCGTAATTCTGATCCATTACCTTATCAGTAATGTTATTACCTAGGTATTGCCTAAGCATTTGAAGTGTAAAGAAAGAGCTTGTTCTCACAACATGTTCGTGTAATTTTCATTAATGTTAAGAATGGAAACCGAACAATATAGTTTGATTGACTGACTAAACTGTCAAACATTAATTTCTAAATCTTTAATTGTGTCTATAATGATGGTACTCGACGAGTTAAGGGTGGATTTTTCCAATATCAGATAAATTTTAACTTTGAATAGGTCATTGACTTTCATACTATAAACTGTCAAATATAAATGTTATTCTACAGTTAAGAATTTATAAGTCTTTTTTGCAGCTTCTAGTTATAAGAAATCAATAATATTTATTGTGTTTTATTTTTTTATACATAATTAACAATTTGTAATAAGAATTTTTCAATAATATAAGAATTTCTTATTCTAATATCATATAAGAAAAATGTTTAACATATGTCCTCTAATTCCAATAGGTAAATGTTATTATAGTAAAAGTATTTGATTTGTAATACAAAAAATGTAATAAATATTTTAAGTTAATAATTCACATGCGTAAATCCAATTTCATTTTAAAGCATTCTTAAAAGCCTAGAGGTCAGGAGAATCAGGCACAGATACAGATAGTAATATTTACAATCCTTATTGCATATACTTATTAGGCTTCTTTTAGAATAAGTCAGATACATACAAATGGCAGTTATGAGTATGCAATAGGTAGTTCTGCATTTGACCTTTCTGAAGCCTGTTCATATCATGTTCAATGCATGTTTATGCCTAGCACTGTAACTGAAGTATTCAATATAGAAAACATAAAATAACTGCAACTATAACTGACTTCATAGGCTGAAAAATATGCACACCTACGATATGAGAAAATAAGTCATGATATTGTGTTATATTCTTTATTAGATAGTAAAACATATATTATACAAACATGCTCCAATGCCACCTATGTCTGTGATTAAAGAATATTTTTAGCTTAACTATTAATTGCATGGTTGCTGTGGTGGCTGGGCAACCGGTCCCTGCGAAATTTGTTGTGGGTTCCTTCCTATACAGAACCGGTCTGGATGGATATGAATGTATAGTTATAAACACACCTACAACACAGCAAAGGGTCTTAGTGTAGGGCCACAAATGGAATATTATGTTTATTAGTATAATTAATACTCTTTCATTAATTGCAGGGCTGGTGTTGAGAATAGTGATGAGTCGACACCTGCCGAAGTGAATGGTGATGCGGACGATGAGTACTTAGATTGTGGTAAAGCAGTTAACTTTACATATTATGATAACCTGGTCGGAGTGGCCAGACGCCATAGACATCCCAATGTACCTGAACCACAGGTAATATATGAATTATATTTTTTAATTGCCCTCCTAGTTAGAAAAGGAGTTTGAATAATAAGTTCTTGTGTGTCTGGAGAATTTATGAATTTGTTTAACATAACAGACAGAAAGTGTATGATCATACTATTGCTAGGTGCACCTTTGTCAACATTTTTACCTATTTATTATTCTTGATAAACATGTGTGTTGCGGCTTAAACTGTCAAACACCGCGAGGACATCGGCCGCAACCCATTGTTCTTTAATTGTCGCGGAGAACCTAACGGGTAACCGGGGCTCCGGCTCGACGTGCAGAAGAAGAAACGGGCTGATTTTTAGTCAGTAAGAGTCTGACACTCCCTCCCGCCTCACCCAGGCGGGAGCAATCATTCGATGATTTTCCCCCCTTAAAAAAGATGTTCTTTAATTGTGTCTATAATGACGGTACTCAAAGAGTTAACAACATAACTCAAACTCAATAGTGTGTTTTTTAGGGGAAAATCATCGAATGACTTTTCCCGCCTTGGGTTAGGCGAGACTGCAGTGTCAGACTCTTACTGACTAAAAACTATCCCGTTCCTACTTCTGCTTACGAGCCGAATCCCCGGCAACCCGTTAGGCCTTCCGCGGTCAATTGCATTGTTGGCGCAGTGGTTGGGCGTCAAGCGACTGCTAACATGCCGTGGGTGGGATTCTGGCTCGGAGCGGTTTTATTATTTGTGTGTCATGCCCATATATATTCGTTACTAGTTACTTAGATTAGCTACTCTACCTAGTTGTCCCCTTATTCTGTGGAATTTGGATTTGTAAACGCTACAGGAGTATTTTTTTAAACTACCTCCTATAAATTGAAAACATAAATAATTATAATACAGGAAAACTTTCATTATAGTTGATGCAAAAAACTACGGTACTATCACTGCATTTATTTTACCAAAAAAAGAATAAATGTTTGCTATGCAAACAGCACGTGTATACAATTACTTAATCTAAATACCTCCATGTCATTTTTACTACAGCTCTTTGTAAATTAGATTTTGATATGAATGTGATAAGATTATGGCCCTATCTATTATCTGTACTGCAATAAAACTACATGAAATGGCCATAGAATAATACGCCATAGTTTTATTATAATATGATACAATAATATATTATATTTTCATTCTTATAATCGTAGAAATACCTATATAGGAATTCTTTGTTATATTAAATGCCTATGATAACAGAACTCATACATATATGTAAAAGGTCTGTACTAAAAACGGTTCAGCAATGTAGGCATAAAAACCTTGCAGACAAAAACATTATCATGAGGTGTGTCTAATGTGACTATGTGACACAATTCGCCCCTTTTCATCCCTAAAACCCTAACTCTCAAAAGACCGGTAACGCACTTGCAATTCTGAATTTACGGGTGTGCATGGACGGGCACCAATTAACATGAGGTGATTCTATAATAACTATCGTGAGACATACTAAATTAACTAAAAATCATGGGTTACTCACGTGAATATACTGAGAGACGCTCTACTAGTTTCGAACCACAGGGGGGTTCTTCCTCATGAGCAGCGTGCGCGGTCGCGCAGCCTACTCCTACAGCAGCTTACTACCTCTACTGGTTTGAAGCTAATAAAGCTTTTCTCAGTATGTTCAAGTAAATAACCTACGATTTTTAGTAAAGGTGATTCGTCCGCTCGTTTGCCTTCCTGTCCGATAAAAACTGGTTCCCGACGTATGCATATGGAATTTTGGGATATTAATTTAACCCTTAATGTAATAACGCCGTTCTACTACACATATTGTATTGGGTAACACAAATAAATATTTACCTACAAATTGTTTTTAATGTTTTCCTGTAAACAAATCCAGATGAGGAAAATTGTCTCGCAACTGATCGTAATAGCAATGTAATTTATAATGTCATTTGAGGAAATTATTATTTTATTTTTTTTTTATGTTTAGTTAACTAGTCTATTGTGTTTATAAATCCTGTGGATTTTTTGTGATAATAAATAATCCATTGACGCTCCCATAGAATGTCTCGATAAGAATGCATTCTTAAGATATCGACTTGTAACAACTTAGCTATATTATCTTGCGTTGTTATTGTTAATGACACAAGTGACTGATCACGAATCTGTAGACAACAGCAGCAGGCTAATTCTACAAACTGCATTATCTATTGTCAAATATTGTTACTTAGATGTAGGTTACTTACAAACTTACGATGCATTTCTTAATTAAGAAAAGACATTGCTTTCTTGTGTTCGTATAGAACACTAACCGTTTTCTAGATTTGGAAAAGAGCAAAGGCTTTGTAGATAAGTCTAAAACCATTGGGACATGAACCACGTAACCTGCATTCAGAGTACCAAGCACGAATAACTATCGCATTCGTAACGTAATAGTATCGAGCGCGTTCGGCGCTCTGATTGGCCGGCTCAAGTGACCCAACCAATCAGAACGCTTAACGCGCTCGATACTGTTACGATGCGAATGCGATAGTTATTCGTGCTTGGCCCTCTGAACTTGTCTACAATTTCATCGTCATTTAACAAAATAATCTTGTTACAGGTTTCCCTAATATTCCCAAAGAAGAAATCAAACGGTCTATCACCGTCGGAAATAAATGGTTTCGAGAAACGTCTAAAAAAAGCAAAGAGAGAGAAACCAAAGTCTGTACAGCTGTACAACCAGATTGGGAACTTCTGGAGGATCAAGGGCGATACGAGACAGTCCATCGAGTGCTTCAGACGCGCTCTTGCCGTCTCACCATATAATGCAGAAGTAAGTGCTTAAGTACCTATTGCATATTTGATGATGATTATGGGCCCCGAGCGTGGTTCGAAACTAGTCGAACTACCTCGTCTAACACTTAGTCAATATTTAAGTAAAACTTAATTAATTTAATATGCCTTGTAATAGTTATAATAGATTCAAAGACAATTGATATTTCTGTGACTCGCATATTGTTGAACTGTATGTTATCGAATTTTGCTCACGTTTGGTAATACATAGCTTCACCGCTACTACAATAGGACTATTTGTCTATTCTATAGAATTATTGTCAAAAATTTGTACTTAACCCATTGAAGGATAATAGATGCGATGTTACGTACATTAATAGATTATACATACTGTAATGAAACACAGGATGTCCTAGTTCAGGCACCTTATATTTTGAACTTAATTTTGTTTTATTTTTATTATACTTTTGTGTAACAAAAAAAGAAAGAGGTTCTATGTTTGTCCGCGGTGATCTCGATGATGATTTTGATGCAGTTCTCGGAAAAGTATTTGTTTCAATTAGGAGCAGGTTTTAGTACTTATATGTTCTAACGGAATTAAAATACAGAAGGTTGAATTCGGTTTTTTTTAAATACAGCATATTTTTGGAAATTATTCTAGAATCTAGAATATACCTATACTAGACCTAACCTACTTCATGTATCCGTAATTCCATATTCATACAAAAATATGTTACTTAAATAACATAAATTACTTAAGCAAATAGCACGCAGGTGACCTTTACAAAGGACAGTAGGAACGAGGTTACCAGGTCATATCATATTATGCGTCTTCATTTATTTACCTTTTGTACGTTTAATCAATAAGGAGTAACGCAGTGACGAAGTAATGTAATAATGAACGATTATTTTATAATAGAAATAAATTAAAAAATTCATATTAGAAAGTGACGTAATATGTCCAAAAAAACATTAAAAAATCGCGTATATAAGTTAATTTGCAGGAAATTTGGTAATTTTTTTTAAGAGGGGAAATCATCTTATGACTGCTCCCGCCTTGGTGAGGCGGGAGGGAGTGTCAGACTCTCACTGACTAAAAACCACCCCGTGCCTTCTCCAGCACGTCGAGCCGGAGCCCCGGTAACCCGTTAGGTTCTCCGCGACAGGAAATTTGGTATAGGTACCTAACTTTAGAAGGAATTTTATGAACGTGCGGAAAAACCATTTACCTTGTTGGTGGTTGTCGGTGCACACATTGTTTGAGGTCAGGACAAAGCATATTTGCGGAAATAAATGTACCTAATAACTTTTTAAGTCAAATTTAACTTGATATTATAAAGTAAATGGGTGATTGTTCTGCTATAAGATATTTTTGACCCATCAACAAAGAAATACGAAACCAAAATAGGTACGCCACTAAAACCGATAAATTGCTACAAGATCCGAAAATTGCACTCACTACTCGATACCTAGTACCCAACTTACAATTTACAATTCAAAATACAAAAAGGAAAAACATTCTAACTGCTTTGCTACGTAGATTAAGTTCCAACCTTAAAACTAAGAACATAAAGGTGCAAAATTGCCAACAAAAATAATGTTCTCGAACAAACATTAATTTGGTCGCAATAATGAAAATTATGAAACTATAAAAGTTTTTATGAGTTTTTTTATTATTCGTCGGTTATTGGACATCTAATTAATTACTTACTTGATACAGCCCAAAATACCCATGTAGGTATTGGTATTATTATGTACTTACCTTCAGAACAAATTCATTATGGTTTTAATGGATTACTGTCTGTAGCTTTTCTATTATTTTCTATGAAATAAGCCGGTAAACGAGCAGATGGATCACCTGATGGTAAGCAATCAGTGTCACCTATGGATACCCAAAACAACAGAAATGTTACGTTACCGGCTTTTTGGGGATTAAGAATTTGATGATTGTTGGGGATTCGGGCATTGGGGAGATTGGGGCCTCAAGTAACCTCACTCGCACTACGAAACAACGCAAGCGTTGTTTTGCGTGGGTTTTCTGTGAGGCCGCTTTATTACTTTGGTCGAGCTGGCCGGACAGGTCGGCTCGCCATCAGGCATCCACGGATAGGGTCCAATACAGCGGATAACGTAAAAGGTTACCGGGGCTCCGGCTCAATGCAGGAGTACGAACGGGGTGGTTTACGCCTAGGCGGAAAGAGCGATTCGATGATGTTCCCCCCTTAAAAAAGAAAAAGTGTTTAACGGGCTCCTCTCTAATAATGTTGTTGTGTATGTGGATTATGAATGATTAAGTAGTTTATGGCCAGTAATAAAGTAGGAAAATCAACCCGTATAAAGATTAATTCTAAAACTTCATGGTTAATTGGTGGTTGTATAATAGCGTTTGGTGCAAATCGGCCAGGAATGGCATTATATTAGCAATAGCATATTATAATATTAAGATGTTTAACTGCCACTAATTAGGCACAAATACATCAGTTTGGAACACCATAAAAAAGATTTGGGTGTAATTTTCATAAGCAATGGTTGCATGAAAAAATTTCTCCTTTAGCTCCGAACTTGTTTGATCATGGACGCGATCCAGGAAGAAAAACCAATCAGAACTGTAATCTACGTACAAACTGAGACAATGCTATTTAGCGCATTCAAGCATGTATTTATTTTTATAGCATTCTTCCTACCGCTATCCCCAGTTGCTTGGAGTTAGCATAATGTCTTACTTACTCCATTTTCCGTATTCACAACTCCCAAAATGGTGGTTTGATCCAAATATTGCAAGGAAAAGTATTTCTTTTTTATGGCATAAGCCGGTAAACGAGCAGACGAATCACCTGATGGTTAGCGCCCATGGACACCTGAAACACCAGAGGCGTTACAAGTGCGTTACCGGCCTTTTGGGGAATAAGAATTTGGAGAAGGGGAGATTGGGGAAGGGGAGGAGGGTAATCTTTCATTATCATTCTTCACAAAGTCCATCTACAATATCCATAATGTTCTTCCCCAGGTCCTGCTAAACCTTGCAAGGGTACTATTCACCCTACAATACTTGGACGACGCAATCTACCTAACGCGACGGTCGTTAGAAGTCCAGCCGCCAGATCGCAGCGCGTGGCAGCAGTATTTCACGCTCGGCGAGATATTCAAGGCATATGGACATTATCAGGTATGTTGGTATTCAACAAATCTGAACAAAGTACCTTATTTCCTAAGGTACTTTGTTCAGATTTGATTAGTGTTTGGAGTGATTCCTTTTCTGCTGTCTTGTGATTTTAAAGGCTGTTTGTAAATGAAGGATATGGAATCTTTTATAGATTTTGTTTATAGGGTGTTCTAGTACAGATACCGACTTTCCTCAAAGGTTGAATCTAACAAAAAAGTGTGAAATACGCTTAAGATTCCTTTATGCCTTATAGAAGGAAAAATTTAAAAGTAGTTGTGGAGACTCTATAAGACGCACAAATAGTAAATTTCCTAAGCATCAGCCGCATCTGCGCAGGCCGTTAATAAATTACCCACAATTATAACAACACAATGGCGTTAGGTTTTTTATAGTTAACCGATTACTTAATTGACGATGGAAAAATGAAAAATGCATAAATGTAAACACCGTTTCTACTAAAATGCAGATAATGCAGACTATAAAGTTTTATTGATATGAAATAAGTTCCCAGAATAAGAATTAATTTCAATTTGTACATAGACAACCTACTTTAAAGATTTGAAACAGTACATCAGTGGATCTTACTGTAATTATTTTACGTGACGTCACAAAAATGTAATTAACAATATGGTTTCAAAATGACAATGACAAAAGTTATGTGCTCATTATGTTTAGTGCTATTTATTTTAACACTGACGTCCTCTACGTTTAAATTACAGACTTGTTTATTAAATTATCCTACTGAAAGTACATTGACTTTGACAAAAATTGTAGAAAAAGGGCAACAAAAATACTCGATGGTAGGGAGTTACCAAAGGAGTTGGGGGGATTCCCGTAAAATAAGCTAGGAACAATTGGGATGATGATAGGGTATGAAAATTAAAAAAAACTCATTAGTCCGTAAGTTAGGTAATGGAAAAATATTAGACACGTATTTTTTATTTTTATTTTGTCGTATAATAAAACAATACTCAGATAAAACGAATCAAAGTTTATGAGTGGGCGCATAAAATGTACATAGAAGTGACGTCACGCGACATTTATATTAATATATCGTCGAAAGTATTCGTTTCTGTAAGAAAATAAAAAATACGTGTCTAATGATTTAAAACAATCTAGCAGACGGACATTAAAATAAAAATTAGGCATCTATGTACCCTATTCAACTAGTCCTTATTATTTTTTCACCTCATAGATAGAGGACGATCTGTTGATTATAATTAGTTTGAATATACATAATTGTTTATTTGCTCGTATCCCCTTTGCTTCATAAACATACTTCATTGCTGCTTTAACACCTGTGTGACTGTATACCCTTCTGCAGGAAGCGGCAATGCACCTGAGACACGCTCTGGACTTGAAACCGGACTATGAACCCGCTATGGCCGCATTGAAAGATATCGAGAACACGCCAGAAGCATCAGTGCATGTCTATACACTCCTTATAATTGTGTGTTTGGTAAGCATGTGATTTTTTTATACTTAGAAATATGAACGAAAGGTCTTTGACCTTTGGTTCAAAGGGCTAACCTCTTCGAACCTGGTTACTGTATCATGAACACTATTTTTTAGATTCCTCGATTTTAAAATTGATAGTTATCCCAAAGTTAGCCACAGGTTTCCAGTTACACTTATAAGATAACATACCTAACAGTCGAAAATTGTTTATATTGTAAGTACCTCTGCCTACACCTTCAAGGAATCATGAACGTGATTATCCAGTTAAATATCTTCATGAGAATTTATTTATTTATTGTAACACCTTACAATATGACATCTTACTGTTTGTTCTAATGCAATATCTTATTTCCTGACGTATTTAAGTCCAACATGTAACTTAATTAATAAAGAATAGAATAGGGATATTATAAATGGCTTGAGAATAAACTTAATTTATCATTTGTCAAAATAATATCTAGTCTTACGATATGTCTAGTCGTAGTAGTTACCGAACACATTTATATTGATAGCAGTTTCAATTAATCAATCAGAGCCGGTCGTTATTGAATGCGGTTTTGATATTCTATTCTCGATATCTCAGGCCTTAGGTGGATAAGTCCTTGGTGTCATAACAAACAAACAAATAGATCGATTTATTGAATGTTATGAACGTAGGAATAGAATTAGAAATTCGTTAATAATTTTTGGGTCAAAATTCTTCTTGGGAAATTGTCTAATATGATTATTGTTTTGTATTTGTTTTTTAAAAAAACAGTCGTTAGGATTTTCTCCTGTATCGCGGGTACGTTTACACATACAATTTTTACACATGATACCCAGACCTGAAAAGACCGAAAATAATAATTTCTGGGACTGCCTCGTTGGCCGAGTGGTCGCAAGTGCGACTGCCGGGCAAGGGGTCTCGGGTTCGATTCCCGGGTCGGGCAAAGTATTACTGGGTTTTAAAAAAAATCTCAGTAGTAGCACGGAGTCTGGAATTGTGCCCGATATATGGCAATAGGCTCACCCCCTATTACATGGGACTCATAACATAAATAGTGAAAAGTGGGTGTTACATTGTACAGTGGCGTAATGTGCACCTCTGCCTACCCCTTCGGGGATAAAAGGCGTGATGTTATGTTATGTTATTTGTTTTAAAAAACAGTCATTACGATTTTCTCCTGTATCGTGGGTGCGTTTACACATACAATTTTATACACATGACACCCGAACTGAAAAGACCGAAAATAATAATTTCTGGATCGTTGAACAAAGAATTGCTCCGTGTGCCAATCGCACTAAACCTTGCGCGCCAACTGGTCGCCTAGCCACCGTGCTATACGTGGAGCCAATATGACTTGTATATGATCATTTCTGCTTCGTATGAGAAAACCCTTTTCTAAACAGTGGAATAATTAACCTTAATGACCTAACTCGGTCTTCAACGGTTCACATCCACTGCCAACAACCATAGCAGATATCGTCACTCCATGTTTGCACAGACGCGGAGGATCGGAGGCCCAATTACCCTCCCCTTCTCCAATCCCTGAATCCCCAAAGATCCTCAAACTTCTAATCCCCAAAAGGTCGGTAACGCACTTGTAACGCCTCTGGTGTTCCAGGTGTCCATGGGCGACGCCGACTGCTTACCATCAGGTGATCCGTCTGCTCGTTTACCGGCTTATGCCATAAAAAAGAGGCAAATTCAAATTAGAAAATGCATACCAAAAACAATAAAACACTAAACTACATACTCAATGAAACAGACGATAAATTAAATGAGTATCATGAAACCATATCGTTTATGACCGCAAAGGAAATGAGGTTTGCCATATCCGAAACCCATGTCATAATTTGTTTACCGATGTCCACCGGTAAATATGTACGATATGTTGATGTTGATAGCACATTGCCTAGCCAAAATGCAACATCCACGTTCAACGAGTATGGGTAAACATTTATGTTGAACAATTTTGTAAATGTTTACTATTTTTAGTTTTGTTTTTGACTGGTTGTAGTAAATAGTAGTAGTAATAAATTGAGCTTTGTCGTGCCTCTTTGGCCGAGTGGTGGCAAGTGCGACTGCCGGGCAAGGGGTCGATTCCCGGTTCGGGCAAAGTTTAATGGGTTTTAAAAAAAATCTCAGTAGTAGCATGGAGTCTGGAATTGTGCCCGGTATATGGCAATAGGCTCACCCCCTATGGGACTGATAACATAAATACTAAATAGTGAAAAGTGGGTGTTACATTGTACATTGTACATAATGTGCACCTCTGCTACCCCTACGGGGATAAAAAGGCGTGATGTTATATTATGACTGTGTCTAGCTTGAAAAAATGTTTCTTTTTTGTTCAGACAACGAGTGTTGTCTCTTAGAGATCAGATCGCACATTTATTGACTGATAGACGGACGGGCAATTAAATTTATGACGTTTTAAAAATGGCTAATTAATTGAATTTGACTTTGATCTAGTACACTGGTATTATCTATGTATATTTCCGAATTTTCTCATTTAAGTAAGATATTATGTTTTTCGCTAAAGTTGAACACACATTGATGTAGAATCGAAAGCGAAACATGACTCATTCGTGATTATGAAATATTACTTTTACGCACAAAATGTGTCAATGTTGACTTAGTCTGACCTTTTATGAAACGTTACCGACTGACTACTCATGTAATGTAGCTTGGAGAAAATAATTTTAGCATTCATACCAAACAAATTATAGGTAATGGTACCCAGATAGTATACCTATGCGTAGACTAAAAACCTTTTGGGTTACCGGGGCTCCGGCTCGACGTGCAGGAGAAGGAACGGGGTGGTTTTTATTCAGTAAGAGTCTGACACTCCCTCCCGCCTCACCCAGGCGGGAGCAGACATTCGATGATATACCCCCCTTAAAAAAAATACGTAGACCTACAACTGGGTACAAGACAGTAAGCTCGGTACAAAACAGTAGATATACAGTATTTTCACCATTATCAATAAAAATTGTGTTAGCTGCTGGCTTCTATAATTCCAACCTACGACTCAAAAGAAAATTGTAACGAAGGCAGGAAATTTTCTCTAAATCGATTTGTTTCTAGTGCGTTGTAAAATAGGAACACGCTCGATCTAACATGTTCACTCAATCTAGAATTGTGCGTAAGGTAAGGCGTAAATTAATCATTTTGTCACACTTGAAAGGTTAAGCTGAGGTTTTACAAAATTACTTTTAAATACATATACCTACCTACTAAGTACTTACATAAACGAATACATGAAACTAAGTAGGTACTTATAATAAGCGTTACATAATTTTTTTGTAACACATTGATCTAACTCCTCATTTATTAGCACTTCTATCAGATCCTCTTAAAAATTCAATAACATCATCAGCCTATAAATGCCCACTGCTGAGCAAAGCCTCTACTCACAAGGTGGTTTGAGCATTAATCACCACGCTTGCTCAATTCGGGTTGGTGATTACAAACTTATAATTAGAAATTATAAGCCCAGGTTTCCTCACGATGTTTTTCTTTACCGTTTGTCAGTGGTGTCTAAATAATCTTAGAAAGTATTAACTCGGAAAAAGTCATTGGTACTTGCCGTTGGTAGGTTTCGAACCGTGCGGGTTACGGGTGCGGATTATGTGGAACCTCATGCATGCGGAAGCGGGCGTCATAAAATTCAATAAAATTAAATCCAAATCTCCACTATTCCAGGTGATGGGAGTGTTACTGGTGATATTATCGTCAGTAGACAGTGGCGGTGATGTAGAAGAGCATAAGACTCAACGACATTTCAACCGAGCGATGGCTATGCGGTCCCTTCGCGGCGTGGCTCTACCCGGCTCCCGTGGACGCAAGAAAGGCGGATCCTAAACCCTCATCTCTAGCGATAAAAACCTGAGTTTATAGTCTCTGGTCGTGTTCCTAAATTGATTTGTTGTGTAAGGCCAGTCACATTGTTGTGGAACCTTTTTGAAATAATTATTGCCTTTAATGGCGAATAGATGTTTCGAATGTCAGTATTTTACTTAGAGTGGTTTTCCGTGACTGAAGTTTTAATGTCAATCCGATATTATTATTAAAACATACCCCTTTGGACTTCGCCACTGTCGGGTATAAAATAAAGCCCATCAGATGTCCCTTAGTAATGTGACTGGACTCAAAACTAAAGAACATTGTCTATGTTCAACACTTGTGTTCAACCTTTTTTTAATATTATGAGTAAAATTGTCTGTGTATCAGCTAGTAGAGTGCTGAGATAAAATGGAGTATAAGAAAGCAGACATTGCCACAATAAAAACTGAAATTAAATAAATTCCAGTTTATTTAGTTCTTAAGTTATTTCGCTCTTATGAAAAAGATCCGTAGGGCAATATTTTTTTACGCCCAACACCGGATCTTGTTTTTTTTTTTTTTGTTGAAAGGAGATTGTAAACTCAGGATGTATGAACAACTGTCATTACAAACATTTAAGGCTTGATAAAACAAATAACGAGTGATGTTGTCTTATAGCTACAATGTTTTATTATAATCGCTATTGACCCGTGGGATATCGATGAAACCGTTGTTATGGTACTGTTCTCTTAAATTATTTTTGTTTTGTTTGTTACATTTCACCGATAATAACATGTATTTCATCAAGTTAACTTTCTGTTATAGTAACTTTACTCGTCTATAAAATGTTACATAGTGTATTTATCTATTACGACTTCATTCTCGAAATAGGTCAATGTTTTTATAATGATTATCGTGAGACATACTAAATTGACTAAAAATCGCGCGGGTTACCCACGTGAAAATACTGCCTGCGGCATTAAGTCCACCTTATGTACATTTTGTGCATGAAGCTTACAAATAAATAAATAAATAAAATACTGAGAAAAGCTCTACTAGTTTCGAACCACAGAAGGGTTCTTCCTCAAGAGCAGACTACTGACGCTGCTATTTTTAATTAATTTAGTTCTGTTGGTATTGTCATAGAAAAAAGTACTTAAAATTTAATTAATTATGTCCAACTAGGTGGTTTATTTTTTTTAAATAGCTGTTAAACCCGAACATATCTATTCCATATAAGAAATTACCTAGATATCAGTTAACTTGATGACATACTATATCTACCCTTTTGCGTTGTGATATAACTAACTCAAGGCTCTGATGCTACGACATTATAATGGCTGGTTGTGCTAATAATTTATTAATATATTTATGTATTTACAATTTAATGGAACAGTGCCATTAATCAGAGGCTAATGTACAAAATATTCTTTATGTAAATGTGACCAGAACGGTCTTGCCATGTCTCATTTGATCTCTGCTTGTAGTCCTCATCACGTCGCGGTCATACTGACGTGGTGTACCCTTTTAGCAGTTAAAAAAATTATAAAAAAACAGCTTTTCAGTAAATTTACCTTTTATAAATTAATACGATCTACAAATCCACTCCGTTCTCGTTTAATATATTTGTATCTTAAGGTAAGAATGTTCTTTTTAACAGAAATAATGCTTTCGATAAGCAATAATAGTTAAATACTATTTGTAGCTAGTTGATAATATTCGAATAATGAACAAGCTCGAATTTTCAAGTTAAATGTTGTTTACGGAGTTATTGATAATATTTGAATACTATGCAGTAATGTATTACAGAAAATGAACAATATACTGCTATTATATGGAGTGTACACGTAATCCGTCAAGTTTACGAAGACAAGAGATGGTAATGGCGTGCCTGTCTTGCAACGAGCGTATCACTTTTGCAACCTAGTCATTCACTTAGACAAGTTTGGCCCGCGCAGAGTCGGGGCCTCGTGTGTGTATTTCGTTTAGTAGTGCATGCAAATAAACTTGTTAAGTGTTCGTAGCGTCTAAGGATTTAAAACGGAGGAGCAAGTCTTAAATTCGAGATTGGTAAAAAATGTACCTGTTTTCAGTGGTTCTTTTGTTAATTTTTGACTATTTATAATACATGATTGTCCTAGCATCTATATTTGTTTTTCTTATCCTACCTACAAGCACATGCATATTATGGTCGGCTGAACTTTGAAATATACTTGCCTACTGATACATCTCAAATTACGCCACAATACCGCAATCAATCCTTCACTTTATTTATATCCATTTGTATTACCTACCTATATCATTTTGATATCTTGTAATCGATGCGAGTGTGTGGTCTTGAAACTGAAATAGACCTATTATTATATCTACTCAGCTTGACCCTGGAATCCAATTCTAGTTCGGTTGTCACGCTTGCTCTGCTCAAACAACAAAGCATTCTTCTTTACATAGCCTAATCTTTTATTCAGAAAGAGTAAAGCAGAAGTTGTCTCTTATCATGTGGGCAAAAGCCATACTTCGACACAATGTAGGCTCGACCGAGTGATGCACTAGAAATCGGTATCGGTGAAAGATCTTGGCAAGTTCTCTAGTGTCGAGGATCCACGGCATCGATGCTTACCATGAGATTTGTAGGCTCGGTTGCTTCCCTATCCTTAAAAAATCCTACTCATATCTTAAAAATAAAGATTAAAATAGTCCCATTATAAAACGATCTATGGGACTACTACCATATGTAGACTATGAATATTACACTTATGAATGCGAGTTTCTTTGTTTGAATGTTTGTCCTTCAATCATGCTGAAACTACTGCACGGATTTTGATGAAAATGGGTATTACTCTTTACCCTGATTAAATGATCCCATGGGATAAAATAGGAATCATATTCTACGCGAACGATGTCGCGGGCAACAAGTCTATTAATATACCTAGTAGATATACTTATGCCAAGATGCTGTAACTCCTCATACTCGACATCGACAATATCTGTTTAGTAGACTAAAATCCAATAAAATAGTTAACTACTAAATCATTTTTTTATTAGAATTAGTGGGAAGCGGAGATAAAGGAATACTTATGCTAACTTAAAACTACACAGGACCATTTTATGGAGACATTTGTATAAAAACAACTATGAATAAAAAATTATAATGTATTTATTATAAAGTGTATACATGTAACTGAAAAAAGAGTCCGCCGTACTTTCACTTAAGCCATCTCAAATGTCTAAGCAGAAATGCATGCCAAATATTCATATGATAATGTACAATTTGAATTTATTTCAAAAATAGGCAATTGATCATTACTTATACCTAGTTAACCAAAACAATAGCTGTTCGACATAGCGTGGCGACGATATTAGTACGAATAGTTTACTTGATCGATATCTTGTGATGTTTAACTTATTAGGCGGCAATGTCGTGAATGCCTAGGCGAAACAGGTCGTGTTGTACAAAGAAGGAGTCTCCAAGTGGCTTCAAAACGAATGTCTGCATGTACGGGTGTGGGGGGTCGTCGTCGCACTGAAATAAACATATTTACATTACAATAGCAGTCATCATATTGAACACAGCCAGTGAATAAATCTACAGGTTTAAGTATTTAAGAAAGAGGTAAAAGGTTCAATATTCATTTCATATAATAAACACTGTAGGGGATACATTCTGGCACTTCAATAAACTAAGTAATTAGTTATTATATTGTAATTAGAAATAGGAAGTTGTCATAACATAAATTAGTTGGTAGAGTTATCATAAAAAGCAGGGAACAAAATCTGTAACTCTGTCACACAGCAAATCAGGATAAACAATATCATGATTGTGCACAATAAAATATAACAAAGTTATTAGAATTGGAACACTATAATAATGTACTATTTTATATTATTTACGTACATGCAGTGAATGGCTGCACACTGCAACATAACAGACACATTATGAACTATAAGCATTACAACTTTCACCACTTGTGATATTGGCATATTAACCCTTTGAGTACTGTCATTAGAAACACAATTAAAGAACAATAGGTGTACGGACACCGCTGTCCTCGCCGTGTTTGACAGTTTAAATATTGATATTATAATACGTTCTTGCTTCTGCCATGTTGCCAGGCTGCAGCCAAATAACATTCAAGAGCTACATGTAACATTTGCATAAAAACGGAATCCAGTAAGACAGAATGACAACAAGAGCAACAACTACCTAACTTATTTGACCTTCACTGTTACCTTTTGTTATTTCTCTCTTTATATCTGACAGTATCATAATCCAATTATAATTATAGACTTAGAGTAGTTATGTTGCATTGTTAAAAGATCTAAATTAGTATGAAGGGAAAATAAAAAAATGTTTTATTTACAAGACATGATGAGCCTTATTGTAAAAAGGGATCATGTGCCAAGCGGTGTGGTAGTGCATTATCTATAAGCACTAAGGTCTACTCTTACTTTGTATCTGTTGATAAAAGTAATTAAACGTTGTGAAGTGCCAGCCTGAACATGTCGTGTTCTACATAGAATGAGTTTGCTATTGGCTTCAGTACAAATGTTTGAAAGTATGCATGGGGTAGGTCATCGTCCGTCTGTTTTGAAAGCAATAAATGTGGTTAAGGATTACTTTATCCATTCTAATTTAGTCTTAATATTACGAGTTGAATTACTTGTGTCTATAGTTCTTACTCATCATTTAGTAGAACTTTAGTCATTCTTTAACTATTTACCACACATGAGAAAGTAGTAGTATAGGCATATTGGTACAAAAATTTGGTCCAAAATTCAAGCTTAATGATACTATAAGCTTCATACAAGTAAATATACGAACCTGGAGTTGTCCAAGAACATTTATTAGTACACCACCATCAAACATGGGCTGAGAGTCAACAGCGGTTATAATCCTTCCAATTTTTTGAAACGCTAAACTCTGAAATCAGAAATATTATGTGTAAATAAGACATACATATTTTGTATTCTAATATGACTTTATCAAGAAGATTTATTCATTTCATTGACATTGTAATACATTGTTTATTTTTCATTCTGAGAACTCAAAGTCAATGAACTAAGATAATGTGATAAGGAATATGAATCGTAGCCACATACATTTAACTTTTCCATTATTTTCACTGCACCTTGCAATTGAACCCCCTCAAAGGTCATAAACGATGTTTCAACCTGTAACGAGACACATGTACACAGTTAAATACATATTATAAAAATATCAGATTCAATGCAACAGTGGGGCTCCGATTAGGATTCCCGTGTGAGTCATAATTTGTTTTGATCGAACACCATGTAAATGCTAGTTTACTGTTACGGACTCTTAGTCACCATAGAATGACAACACGTTCTATTGAAATAACTAAGAAATTTTGAAACTGACATGCAATAAAGTGTTTTTTCGGCGGGAGCAACGAGATAACCTAAAAGTAAAACCAATTTTTTTTGAAAATTAAGTTCAATTTACAGCTACGATATTGAATTCATAATGTAACATGAATGTTATCTACATGAAATACTCACGTTATACATATTCACTAGGTTTGGTCGCTGTGCTGGATCGTCGAACAGTGTGTAATATTGTTGTACAAATCCCTTTCCAATTGCATCGTATTGCGGGTTCAACGCCATTTTGACAATATATATTTACCTAAATTTCACTAAAACTCCCTAAAATCACTTTCAATATTAAAATGCAGGCCTTTTAGGGGGCTTTTGCATACCCTGGGAGGCTTTCTTTTTGTCGCACAGAAAAAATGGCAAACCGTCGTTGGTGTTGCCCGTGTATAACCACAGATAAAAATAAGTGTCATCGTCATCGTCGCATAGTCGAGTAGTCGAAAATTGCGGTTATTTATCTTAATGAAAATATAAAATTCTATTAAATAATCTCAATTATTAATTTCTATTTTATTTGGCTGAGTAAGTGCCTATCAAGCTATTAGTTGAAATAAAATTAGTTTTTTATAAACAGCTCAAAATACTTGGTGCAAAGTGTAAAAACGGAGTAACTATGTCTTTGATTTGACAAATTGACAATGACAAGTACGAATGTTATTTTCATTGCTGCATTGCATTGGTTTGTGTTGAAATTGTGAATTGTGAATGTTTAGATCTCGGAACATTTTAGAAAATACACACCAGCTTTGATTTTACTGTATTTAAGTTCTCGTAAAAAATAACAAGGAATCATGTCTCTTGCTGATGAATTGCTCGCTGACTTGGAGGAAAATGATGATGGAGAACTTGAAGCACTTATTGACAACAATAAAATGGACGAGGATCATGAGTTTGCGGTGCCATATCCAGTTATACCGAAAGAAGAAGACATTAAAAACGTGTCTATCAGAGAATTAGCGAAATTGAGACACTCAGATCGACTGAAGCGGGTAAGAAACATACATGTTAGGTTTATATTTACATGTGATGATTTTTTCTAATTCTTCTTTCATATTTTATTTTCTAGGTGATGACGTCCATAGAACATAATGTGGGGAATAACAGACAAAAAATAGAAGTAACTGGTCTGATGGAGACTGACCCGGAGTACCAGCTTATTGTGGAGGCAAATAACATTGCTGTTGAAATTGATGGAGAGATTGGTAGGTCTCTTTATATTACTTATTTGCTTGTATAAGTGTTAGTTACATCTGTTTACTTATTACTAGTCTTGATATCATTAGAATTCATGTTGTTATTAATTTTTTGTCATTTTTTATTCATATAAACTAATTTAGTTATATTATAACCAAAGAACTGCTATAGAACAATAACTATATTTGATATTATGAGAGAATTAACTTCCTTTGACCAGGCAACAGCTTCAAGATCAATCATAGCATGCCTAAAATGTATTAGGCAACACACAAACCTGAAATACAAATTATTTTTCAGCTATTATCCACAGATATGTCCGTGATAAGTATCAGAAAAGGTTTCCGGAGCTAGAATCTTTGATAATTTCACCACAAGATTACATTCGCTCTGTAAGGGAACTTGGCAATGATTTGGATCAAGCTAAGAATAATGAAACGCTGCAGAGCTTTTTGACGCAGGCCACTATTATGATTGTGTCTGTTACCGCGTCAACTACACAAGGGTAAGTTTTAATTATGTAATTGGTTATTTTTAGCTTCTTTAAAAACAACCTGATACTTTTGTGGTCAACATGTATGTGCCCAGTGAGTGATCCCATGTTCTATTAGATCCGCATACAGTGAAGTATGACATTTGTCTATTTTTCAAGAATTTTTCAGTAATAGCACAGTCTGAAACCCTTCATGTTGGGCTATAGCTTCATACCCTACATAACTTATGATGGTTGTTTCATGCAAAGAGTTTATTTGTTCATAACTATCTTTATATGATGTAATTATTTATAATAATTTCTCATTAATTTCAGAAAACTATTGACTGAAAAGGAGTTAGCTGAGATAAACGAGGCTTGTGATATGGCGACTGAACTGAACAATTTCAAATCGAAAATCTATGAATATGTCGAAAGTAGGATGGCTTTCATAGCACCAAATATTACAGCTATTGTTGGTAAGTTAGTCTTATTCAGTAAAACATTAATGCAAATCTTTCTACAGTAAAAAAAGTATTTTTAACTAAAATCCTATAAAGTCAAAGCATTTATTTCAATTAAACCATAATTTAGTACTTTTGAAACATCAACAAATACAAAATAAATAATAGTCTGTCAGTCTGTTCGTCAGTTAAGCTATGTTGGTGCTTATTCCAAAATGTAAATTCGAATAGAGAAGAACGAGCAAGTCCACACAAAAACATTACACATGATTAATTTCGATTGGCAGTCTGTGTATCTGCTATCAGCTTTCAAGAAAAGAGTGTAGGTTGGATCGTAATGCAAGAAGTACATTTAACTGATCAATTCCCAAGAGGTCACCGGTGACCACTCTCCAAAAACTGGATTATAGACCTTATTGCCAATATTTAGAAGCTACTATTGTATGACAAATTTTGGGATTTATATCAAGTGATTTAGAAATTATCAGATTACTTGTCTGGGTATAGAACTTAATTCATACTTTTCGTCTCCAAATCATCAGGTGCATCAACAGCTGCAAAGATCCTGGGTGTGGCAGGTGGCTTATCCAAACTAGCTAAGATGCCAGCCTGTAACATTCTACCTTTGGGTCAACAGAAGAAAACCCTGTCAGGATTCTCACAGGCTACAGCTCTTCCACACACTGGTTTTATTTACTTCTCATCTATTGTTCAAGATACTCCACCTGTAAGTAATTTTAATACATACATATTTAATTTTTAACATATATATTATTTTTAATGCATACATATTTAGAAATATACTAGGTTCTGCCCGCGACTTCGTACGCGCAATCCCATTTTCCCCCCGTTCCCGTTCATGATTTTTGGTAAAAAAAAAAAATTAGATAAAAAGTATCCTATGTCCGTCTCCTGGTTCTAAGCTACCTCCCCGTCAATTTTCATCGAAATCGATTTAGTCGTTCTTGAGTTATAAATAGTGTAACTAACACGACTTTCTTTTATATATATAGATTTGTTAAATGTTAAAAGTACCTAATCTAAACAACGCCGTTTTCGGCGCTCGACTTGTATCTTAACCAGATCTAGTTGTGACAGTATTGTAACTTTCAGAGACTAGATGACCAGTAGCAACTATTAGTGATGTGTCGACTCCGAAAATATAGAACTCGACTTAAAATCCATGTAACTCGAGTTAACTGGATGGACAAGTCAATTATTTTTCAAATTATTCCCTCTGCTTTGCATAAACATTTTAAAAAATTTGGAACAGAAAAATTAAAAAAAATATCAAAAAAATATCTAGGTGTATCGATTTAATTTAATAGAATTTATGTGATCAAATTAATTACAGTATGACAGTTGGAAAATATCCATTTAGGTTTTTTGGTTTATTGTCATCACTTATTTAATTTCGTGCAAAATGTAACCCTTTATTGACGTATCTAAATCTGTATTGTCGCTTTTAGGAACTGAGGTACAAAGCAGCAAAGTTGGTGTCAACTAAAATAACGCTGGCGGCTCGCGTCGACGCCTGCCACGAGAGTACGGACGGAAGCATCGGACGAATGTTGCGTGAATCTATCGAGAAGAAACTCGATAAAATGCAGGTAGGAAATATGTTTTGTTGCATACATTTGAAGACACTAAAGCTGTTTTTACTGGACCTGGTAATAGATAAATAAATCTTTATATCTATAATTCTTCTGTGAGAGTGTATGTCACTGAACTTCTCTCAAACGACTGGACCGATTTTGATGAAATTTTTTATTTGTTCAAGGGGATCTGGGAATGGTTTAGATTCACAAATCAGCCTGGCAGATGGCGCTGCAGTCGATGTTTAGGTTATTTATCCTAAACAGCTGAACTAATTTGAATGAATTTTTGTTTATACATTCAAGTGGATATGCAGGACAACGTCTGTTGGGTCCGCTAGTAGCCACATATAAGGATATCGTAGCCGCAGTTACGAATGTGTTTTAGAGATTTGGGGATCATTGGGTATGGGAATCTCACCTCCACGGAGAAACAACAAGCGTTGTTACACGACGGTTTTCTGTAATGCCATGGTATTACTCCGGTCGAACCGGCCCATTGATGCCGAAGCATTGCTCTCCTATTTGAAACATAATCTCACCAGGAACTATCTTTTCTTATTTGTTACTTCTCACAGTATCACTAATAAATAAAGAAATGTTAATATTAATCGATATTTTGCTCTAGGAACCACCACCAGTAAAATTCGTGAAACCGCTACCGAAGCCTATAGAACAAAGCAGGAAGAAGCGAGGCGGCAAACGAGTGAGGAAGATGAAGGAACGATACGCCATGACTGAGTTCAGGAAGAACGCTAACAGACTTAACTTCGCTGACGTGAGTGTAACGTTTGATTTACATACTTACGTAGTTGTAATATGGTTTTAAATTGTTTATTTTTTAATTTCAACAATTATGGTGATAATAGGTATTATAAAATGAATTTTTTACTGTCCCAATGAGTTATTAAATTTAATATTATAGCAAAAAAATATGAAATTAGAATTACTACCAATCACCCATCAAAGATTTACTAAACTTTATATCAAATCCCCGTTTAACTACAACAAGCTGGCATACGAGTATTTCATGATAAAACAAAAATTACAAAGTAATGTTAATGAAACTAGTATCATATCGGTGAAAATTCTCAACATTTTATAATAGAGAAACCGCCATAATTAACGGATATAGAGAACACAATGTGGGTACGTTGATAGTCGAAATAATTGATCGTATCATTATTTGCGCTTGCGTTCGTGGAATCCTTAACGTAAATGTGACGTCACGCTCGGCGGTCCGCGGCAGATGCGTTGAATTTCAAATCGTTCGGTAGAAGTGGCCCGTTTTTTTCACCCGGATCAAATAGACCGGAACTCGACCTGTTGAAGCGTTCGGACGTCCGTGCGCGTGCGCCGCCCGCCATTAACGCTACACACTGACAGCTCCACCACTTTTTTTATTTTAACTTCAAATTAATAATTGCTTTGTACATTTTATAAGTCGCATTTACGGTAAAATGTTCTGAATACTCGCTTGAGTGCTTCAATTTACACAAAATAATGCTGTTAACAAACGTTCGTGTTCTTTTTTTAAATTTTATATTCGCTAAAAGTTATTATTAATCTGTAATTTATTAGATTCTTAATTTAAATGTGGTTAAAATGAAAATGTAGAACGCTCACGTAATTTGGAGTGCGTGATTTAAGATAAAAAATATGTAATTTATTTTCATTGCTATTTCATAGAATCGTACCGGGACGGTACCTCGTTAATTTTGTATTGAAGAGGATATAAAAACGTTTGGATGAACGCTAATACGGGTTACATTTGCAACATAGAATTAATGTACCTTGACTAATCGGGTTTTTGATCTCGTTGCTGATCAGACGACATACAAAGTATTTTTGGGTCACGATTGCATGAATTTAGTTATATTTTGCCTAATTGTACATACTACTGTAGTCACACTCATGCCTGAAAGTATTTGGTGTTTTTTTTTACTATTTTAATCAACCTAGGAATGTCCTCCGTAATTCCACTGTATTATATTGCAGTAATATGCATGCTAAATACTAACAGTTTGGTTTAATAGATAATGCGTAGGTAAAGCGGCAACCCGGAGCGCCGGGTTAACTTAATGAGTTACCGGGGCTCCGGTTTGAAGCAAGACTAGGAACGGGGTGCAATTGTTATTAGGTAGTAAGAGTATGACTCCCTCCCGCCTCCCACCCGCGGAGAAAAGTCACAGGTCAATTTTCCTCTTATGCCCGGGCCACACCTACGAGAAATGCCATTGCTTATCGCGACTTTGACGTTCACCGTAGGTGTAGCCACGAGTCAACGCGATAATATGACAACGGCATTGCCGTTTGATATGATGGGCATTCACATTGAAATTTCAAGTGTAGCCACCCTCTTTATCGCGTTAAAATTATCGCAATCATTATCGTAGTAAACATTGCAATAATCGGCATTGACGTTGACGTTAGTGTGGCCCCGGCATTAAAAGAGAAATAAACGAAGAAAACTTACTTTCGCAGTTATAAAAATAATCTTATTTTGTGTCTTTGACGTCACTCAGTTTGCCAAACTTTATAACCGTATGTTCGATAGATTAGTATTAGCGGACTTTACTGCCTGCGCCCGCCTTAATTGCCGGGCCCGATCGAACACCAATCAATTACCAACTTGTGTTAATATTATTCATAGTAAACCCTTTAGTATCAATCAGACATTTTCTAAAATTATACGAGATTTATTACACCTCACTATTTAATATTATGAATGTGAAAGTTACTTTGTTTGTACGTTTGTCCGTCAATCACGCTGAAACTACTGAACGGATTTTGATGAAATTTGGTATACAGGCACGGTATGGATTCACTTAGGTGATATGATACTTTTATCCCGATTAAATATATCTCCTTATCTAGCTCCCATGGATAAAAAGGAATACGCGGGCAAAGCCGCGGGTAAAATTTAGTGAATTATAAATATAATTAATTCTATGCGTATTACGTAATACTTTCTTGTTCTTGCATTGAGTTGAAAATGGTTCCGATATAAAAATGTGTAAACAAGCTTTGATGTGAATCTTCTAGTTACCTATTATAAATTGTTAGTATAATAGTAAGGTTGTTTAAAGAATTAAGATGGAATGTTGCAATAGGCTTATTATACATTGATTTGAGTGTTTAATCCTGGCCTCGGTAAACTAAAAGCGTTCGGGACGATAATCAACAACATTATTTTTATGGGATAGGTCGGTAAACGAGCAGACGGATCACTTGATGGTAAGCAATCGGTGCCGCCCATAGACACCTGGCCACCAGAGGCGTTACAAGTGCGTTACCGGCCTTTTGGAGATTAATAATTTGAGGATTCAGGGATTGGGGAGATTGGGAAAGGGGGAGGGGTTAATTTGGCCTCCGGTAACCTCACTCACACGACGAAACTCAGCGCAAGCGTTGTTTCACATCGCTTTTCTGTGAGGCCGTGGTATCACTCCGGTCAAGCCGGCCGAGTCGTGCGCAAGCAATGTTCTAACACTTAAAATATACTACACATGTTCTAAGTTTATGATTGAACATTTACTTGATGTGATGTGATACTACAATTTATGGTGCTTATATACAATATATGTAACGTAACTCGCTTCCTCATATGTGCTCTTAAACATACAACCTGCTATGAGGAAGGGAAAATGATGTCTCCTGATTATTATCATATTCTTCGAGTCATCAAGGGAAGTCTATTTCCTTTATTGTTCTTTAATTGTTATGTTTGTTGGAGTTTTTTCCATGTAATATGGGGTATGGTTGTGTACTCCAGGTATAAGTGTAGCGCCTTCGCAATAAAAACAAATAATAATGAGTCTTATAAAAACACAGTTATAAAATCGATAAAGTCGTAACGTGCAGAAGCCGACAGGCTAAACTTATCGAACTTGTAAAACTTTAATATATGCAATAAAGTATAAAATCCAATGAAACAAATATAATCCAGAAAAGCTTAATATTCGTCTTTACCATATGGCGTATTATTGTTAAGATTTTATAGATATGCTGTTTTATCAGTTTTTTTATTAAGATTTACTTAATAAAGGTTTCATAAAATATCCAAACCACTTCAACACCAATTAAACATAAACGTCTTTCCTCAGATTGAAGACGACGCCTACCAAGAAGATCTCGGCTACTCTCGCGGTACTATCGGCAAGTCAAGCACAGGTCGGGTCCGTCTACCTCAAATAGACGAGAAGACCAAAGTGCGCATAAGCAAGACGCTGCAGAAGAATTTGCAGAAACAGCAACAATATGGCGGCGCCACTAGTATTCGGAGACAGGTGTCCGGTACCGCTTCGTCTGTGGCATTTACACCGTTACAGGTAAGCTTTATCCCTGTTTTTAAGTATAGTTGGTTAAGGGCTGATTTTTCAATCAACTGATAATGTGTACAGATAAATGAAATTGAAGTGACTGTTTGTAATCTAAAACAACCGCATTTAACCACATACATATGAATATAAATACGACACACATACCAAAATAGCATCTTTTAGAATTTTTGTCTGACTGTCTGTCTGTACTTCGTAATCTCTGGAATCGCTGGACCGATTTTGACGGGACTTTTGTTGGCAGGTAGCTAACGTACTAAGGAGTAACTTAGGTAACGTGCTTTTATTTTGGAAAATAGAATCGTAAAAAGTGTTATGTCTTAAAATTCATATTCTACCCGGACGTAGTCGCGGGCAATGCAGCTAGTTCTTCATAAAATTGATATTTGACAGTTTTTAGTATAGAACAATTATTGTGAAATATTTAAAATTATACCTCAGATAAAATTATTTAGCGTTGGTAAATTGACCTTAAATGTAATAGGTTAATGTTAATTTTAGGGTGTGGTAAAATAGACTGATATCCATTTTACAACATGTATTGGTAGTATCATCATCATGAGCCTATATTTGTCCCACTGTTTAGCAAAGCCCCATCTCCCTCTACGCACACGATATTGTATTTTTGTGTGCCCTGACTAAACAAATAAGGCCAGGTAGGACAGGACGCAACAACGGTGTCTCATTCACACGTCTCCTTCAAGTAGATGTAATATTTAGTTAAATAACAAAATATCGACTGCACTGTGGGGCAGCTGGCTGCCGCGCAACGTATCGCGGGTTCGATTCCGTACGAAACAACTCTTTGTGTGATCCACAGACTATTGTTCCGGGCCTGTGTGTCATGTGTATGTGAACTTGTTTATTTGTAAACGCACACACGACGCAGGAGAAAATCGTAGTGTGGGGCAAAGATTTTATAAAAAAAATGAAAGAAATGTTCCAGATCTAAACCATTTAGACTAGGGACAAAGTTTTTATAAAAAAATAACAAAAAAAAAAACATCTCATTCCGGATCTAGACCATTCAGAGTATGCAAATTCACAGACAAATTTACTACAACGAGTTTAGTAAATGGCCTCAAATAAGAACTCAATACAATATTCTAAAGCGAGAAAGAAATATTAAAATGCAAATTGCGACAGATCGTTAAGTTTTACGTAATACATACAAATAATAAATTGCACTTTTTTACTTTCGTAATACAAAACGATATAATTTAAATTAAGTATATGCACTTATTATAATGGATAATCTTGTTTATTTGCATATTTATCAAATGTTGAGGAACAATAAAAAATAAAAATTACAAAGTCGAACTCGAAATGTCACTCGGTGATCTAATGTTATGCTTTTGTGACATAAGAAATAATGTTGCCATATTGTTGTGTAATAGAAAAAAAGGTAAAAATATCTTTGGAACACGTTTTGGAGACCGGTTCATGGTCATAGGGTATTGCTATTCGATTTAAATACTACTCTGGTTGTTAGATTTAACAATTAGCGTTTAAAAGCTTTACATACATAGAGATACATACAAAAATGTCGTGGTAGCTCGGAGGTAAGCTTCTCATGCATGTAAGTGCGGGTTCAATACCTAACAACGGCAAGTACCAATGTGACTTTTTACTTATATGTGACTTTTTACTTATATGTACTCGTAAGATTATCTAGACACAACTGACAAACGGTGAAGGAAAACACCGTGAGAAAACCTGGGCTTATAATTTCTAATAATAAGTTTGAAATCGCCAACCCGCAATAAGCAAGCGTGCTGATGAATGCTCAAACCTCAGCAGTGGTCACTTATAGGCTGTTGATGATGATAATGATGACGAGGACCTAGTTTATTATAAAACAGTTATGTATAGATAATAAAACTGCCGTCACGATATAACCTACATGTGTCTTTTAAAAACAATACTAACCGTTATTTATTACTGTAAAAACACATATCGTTATCGTTACGCTTGTGTAGTTATTTGAGGAAAAGCGGTATTAGACAGCTGATTTGTCAAATTATAGTTTAGTAGATAATGCCATTCAAAGTTATATTCAACTTGATACGCAGTCATTAGGTGCTTATAATTTTTTTATAAGCCGTGACAAATTATTGACCTAACATTTTTTTACCGTTTTGTAAACTTAATGCGTATGCGCAGCTAAAAAGGTGGCCGGTGTCAAGGGAGACCTCTATGGTCATTTATCGATTTTGCTGTTAGAAATTGTCAATGGTCGGGGTTCTATTTCTGCCATAGATCGATTCACGAATTAAGATTGATTTTTCATGTTGACCAATAGGGACCGATTGACAGACAAACATGTTACTGTTATTAAATTTTTTGTTTGATTGACTTTTTTACCTAATTGAAATAGAATTGCTAAGCTTTTGACTTTGACGTAAACTTTATACGCACGCAATTACTATCTACGTTTACTATAACTGCCCAAGATCAAGAGCATAAATGTGAAACCTATATTGGCATTGGTAATGTTAAAATTCATAGCGCAGGAAGTAAATGCTTATTCAATTAAGCTCGGAAGCGAACGGCTTACTCCGTGTGAACATGGCGGTAACACTGTGTGAACTATTCTTGTATGTCTATTTTAAATATCGTTACTAAAATGCCCCTTTTTACTTGATTTGCTTAAGAATATCGGTTTCAAATTTAATTAATGAGGTGTATTATGTGTTGACTGCCTCGTTGGCCGAGTAGTCGCAAGTGCGACTGCCGGGCAAGGGGTCTCGGGTTCGATTCCCGGGTCGGGCAAGGTATTACTGGGTTTTTAAAAAAAATCTCAGTGGTATCACGGAGTCTGGAATTGTGCATGGTATATGACAATAGGCTCACCCCCTATTACATTGGACTCATAACATAAATAGTGAAAAGTGGTGTTACATTATACAGTGGCATAATGTGCACCTCTGCCTACCCCATCGGGGATAAAAGGCGTAATGTTATGTTTATGTTCAATTACCGCACGTAACAATACTTTGTGTGATCCACAAATTGTTGTTTCGGGTCTGGGTGTGATGTGTATGTGAACTTGTATGTTTGTAAACGCACCCACGACACAGTAGAAAATCTTAGACTAAGAAGCAACCGAAAATATCTGAAATACTGTCTAATTCGAGGAACGAACTTTTTGACTCGTGACTGTCCACTTTCAGTTACAGCATGTAGTTATTAATCTATGTGGTCACGAATATTATTAGTTTACCAGTAATTCAATTATGAGTTGTCGATACTTCTTAGTAATATATCATTCTATTCAGACACCGTTTTATGGAGACTGTTAATTTCCTTACGCTAAGTTAGGCGTTAGGCTATTGCAGTGGTTCACTATAACATAACATCACGCCTTTTATCTCTGCATCCCCGGATGGGGAGGCAAAGGTGCACATTACGGCACTTAATGCCACTGTACAATGTAACACCCACTTTTCACTATTTATGTTATGAGTCCCATGTAATAGGGAGTGAGCCTATTGCCATATACCGGGTACAATTACAGACTCCGTGCTACTACAGAGAATTAAAAAAAAAAACCAGTAATACTTTGCCCGACCCGGGAATCGAACCCGAAACCTCTTGCCAGGCAGTCGCACTAGCGACCACTCGACCAACGAGGCAGTCCCAGTTAACCTTAGAATCAGCCTAAATGCCATAATAATTAAAGATGAACAAGAAATGGACTAGAAAATATGAAATTAAAAAAAGTAAAAAGTGTCGGCAGTTGGCCTTAATATAATTAATTAGAGAAGCTTTTACGCGATGAAAGACTAAGTTATCAAAGTTCTCACTCGGCCAACGAGGCATATCTATATCACTAAGTAACATTGCAAAATATGAATCTTGGAACGTAACTGGTGAAGGCAGGATATCTGGCTACTCATAATACCCGTATAAAAGTTGTATCTCACAATAAAGGTATGGGTGACGAAATAATAATTGAATATAAAGGGTCCCCATAATATGCACGCAACTTCCTTTCATTTACATTTTTATGCCAGAGTTTGTTATTTAATAACCATTTTAAGTGATTTTGAATTTAAGTTAAGTGAGTCTTACATGTTGATATTTAGTCCTTTATCTGGCAATGGATATAAAAGTTCGATAACACTGCATTCTTTAGTTTTGTACTGACATCAACATATTACGTGATGCGGAGCAACCGTGTTATTGGGATTCTTCTTGAACTGGTGTTATAACTATTAAATATTTTGTTATTGTTTCCAAATCATTTATTGCACATACATATATCGACGGGATTGCCTAGATATGAGCTTCATTTTCCACAAATACCTAAGCATAGCCTCGGAGTGATTATATAGTCAACACTTTCGATTTTTAACAATATTAATCTCGACTGTGATTAATACGATAAATAAGAACTTCATTTCTTTTTATTTCGTTTATCATCAGTGATCAAATCATCAAGTAAGTACCAATGTGACTTTATCCGATTTATATGTATTTTCTAAGATTATTGAGACATCACTGACAAACGGTGAAGGAAAACATCGTGAGGAAACTTGGACTTGTTATTTCTTATTATGCGCGCGCCTCAAAGAGCCATCAGACCACCACGAATGGGGCCCAACAGGGCTGATGCCGATTCGGAGTCGCGGAGAACCTAACGGGTTACTGGGGCTCCGGCTCGAAGTGCAGGAGAAGGAACGGGGTGGTTTTTAGTCAGTAAGAGTCTGACACTCCCTCCCGCCTCACCCAGGCGGGAGAAGTCATTCATTGATTTACCCCCCTTAAAAAAATATTATTATTTCTAATTATAAGTTTGAAATCGCCAACCCGCATTAAGCATGCGTGGTGATTAATGCTCAAAGCATCTTCGTGTGAAAAGATGCCTTAGATCAGCAGTGGCCACGTATAGGCTGTTGATGTAATCATCAAGTGTACCTATCATTGACTAATTCTGATTCGGTTCGATACAATAGGTACTTGACCGTTTCTAAGACAGAACTCCAAAT